TTTTCTTTCCTCCCTTTGTATCTTAAATAGTTGATTACTCCATTCACTTCATCAACCATCTTCATCCAAACGAAACACTATAAAAGAATAAGATCCTCCCGACTCAAGAGGTCTACCTAACAAATGAAGATCACAAGAGGGCATAGTTCCTAATTCATCAATCTACATGCATGACTTTCAATCTGGGTGAGCACTGCATGCTCAACTGTTGGAAATTTGACATCACTCTAAACTCATAAGTAATGCAAGTCCACTCCAAAAATAATTTGCTTTTAAAAGATGCAGAAAAACAAGAGAAACAGAGCAAAAAAAATTTGAGTAAAATCGGATAATAAGGAATATCGCCTGTCTGATTATCAAGATATTTATGATTGGAAATCTAAATCAAATTTTCTGTTTTCCCAACGGTTTTTATAACACTACAGTTTATTTGGTAAAATGAGTACATGGTAAAACCGATCACTCAAAGATATTTACTTTTTTGAGGCACTTCGATGATCATTTTGAAGCGCGTTTTTTTGTTTAGGGCTTCAATATTACACCATATCACATACACTGCTAACATGTAGGGCCATGCATCTCAGATTTAACATCACAAACGATGCTTTTAAAGCAACCACCAGAAAAAACATAAAACTCACAATTCTTTTCCCCATTGCCTTTTGTTGCTCTCTGAGTAAGTTTCGAGGGATTCTGTCGTGCCATAAGATTATCCACACATCATGAAATGACTGATTTCGGAGGTGGATCAGGATGCCCCCCCCCCCCCCTATTGAAAGTTAGAAATAAAATGGGGGAAAAAAAATCCACTTCCACAGGCCACACTACACTTTGCATTTCACCTTAATTTTAACCCCCCCCCCCCCCCCCCCCCCCGTTTTTTCTCTAACAATCTAATGCATTACTCATGACACTTAATTGTTTTAACAATTAACAGCTTGCCCATATACGACTCATAACACAATAAGAACAGCTCTCGAGCTTTTGTGGGTTGTTTAAGCAGACTAATAAGAAATACCAATCAACCAAATAATAATAATAATATAATTACAGTTTTACTAAAAATGAAAAGGTTAAATCTAGACTCTGTTATTTTTAATAGTGTTATACCAGAGAGTAGCTATTGTTATGATTCTATTCAATCCACGTGTTGTGTCTCAGTAAGCTAAACTAAGCTAAGGCCTGGCCGAAGGCCGAACCTTGAAGGGTATGGTACCTCGATTACGCTCAGCCAGAGCTCCGGCCGGGGGAGCCAGTCATTTCATTGCTAAAATTCAGATCAACCAATCGAGAGGAGGCGATTTAAAAACCTGTAGTAGGGTCTAAACCTAGGTCTATATGGAGCTTTCCCGTAATTAAAATATCACCAAGACAGAAATATTTGAGCTCTAAGTAGGGAGAAAGGAGACTTACCTTAACTGTCCAAACAGAACATTGTTGCACTTCTAAGAAATATCCTCATTTTCTTGACTCCTTCTATCCGAGCGACCACATGCCATGTGTTTATGTGAGAAAGTTGGGAAGTTGCCCTTCGAGCTTCAAGCTTCTCGATCTCGAGCGCAACCTACCTAGCTAGGCCCGTAACCGCCGGGCGCGCGTTTCCGTTTTACACCCTGCCCTAGGCTTTTCGGCAAGAAATTACACGAAACATGCTGTATCCGAAGTCTAAGTTTGTTTATATATCGACGTCAAGAATAGCGAAGCCAAAGCTTATGTACAATTTCAATTGGGGATGCGAGGGTCTTCTTGTTCAAGACGGTTTTCCCGATATATTATTGTTTTGTTATCGCTGGGCTAAATTTTGCGAGCTGATCACGCATCCTCACGCTCTTAGAGTATTGCGTATTAATGGATAAAAATAAATGATACGACTAGGAAGATCAACTAGTATAGAGAGTTAGCTAGCGCTACGTGACGTTTTCAGAGTTCTGGTGGTGTGCAGAGCGCCGAGGCAAGATGTGGACGACTAGACTCCGAATACCAGTCGGTTTGTAAAATTTTATTGGAGAAAAGCCTAGGGCAGGGTGTAAAACGGAAACGCGCTAACCGGGCATGGTGGCTCATTGGTTAGAGCGCCCGCCTCATGAACGGGAGGTCGTGGGTTCGAAACCCGGCCGAGTCTTACCAGGGAGGTGAGACTCACATGCCCTGGTCTTACCAAAGACTTATAACAATGGGACCTTCTGCCTTCTAGCTAGGCGCTCAGCATATTAGATTGGAGAAGGGTAGTAATACCATATTATGTTATGCAGGGCCCGCTGGAAGAGCAGTTTCATAACTGAAGTGGATATATATATCCTGGGTAAAATTTGTAACCAGAGTTTTCAAATAGGGTGTTCGTTTTAAAACGCCAGGAGCAACGCCCCGGTGGGGGTTAGGGGGGCAGAGCCCCCTCCCCCCCCCCCCCCCCCCCCGAACCCACTATTTATCAACCAAAAAATTTCAGGCAAGTTAAGTTGCAAAATTTGTTGAAAGACTCGTTTTCTGCCCCGGCCAGTGCAGCGCAAATAATTGTGAGATTCAGAAATAGACTACGTTCTGGTCTAGAGTCTATTTTGAGAAAAAAACAAAGTACATCTTGATAAACTGTTGAAATGGGCATGCTTTTCACAATCAGGCTTTTATTTATTTGTTCAATCAATTGGAAAGTTCAAACTCGGAGGTCACGGAGGGACCCATAATGTCCCACGTCAGCCTAATTCAAACATAATAGGGCCTTTATAGGCCTATATGATATTCTGAACAACTAAGGCACCTCTCCCCTCCTAAGCTTGCTCACAATAATAAGGTTTCAAAATAATGTTCATCTAACCGTAATTTAACACCTAAAACAACCTAAAAGCTTCTGGGATCGAGCTCTGCTCCCTGGAACCATGCAATGGCCCTAAAGCTACAGTCCCATATACGTCCCGGACCGTCCCGGACCATCCCGGACCCCATCCGGGGTGATCCGGGATTCGGTCCGTGTTGACACCGTGTTGGCACCGGGGTGGTCCTGGATGGTCCTGGATGGTCCTGGATGGTCCTGGATGGTCCTGGGCGGTCCGGGAGTCGACCCCGGATGTTTTTGACGGTCAAAAACTGCCGGGGTGGTCCGGGACGGTCCGGGACAATAGTTTGATCCGGGGTGATCCGTGTAGCCACCGTGCTGGGTCCGGGGTCATCCGTAGTGGCGCCGGGGCGGTCCGTGTTGATCCGTGGCAGTCCGGGAGTGAGTTATTGACCGCCCAGGACCATCCAGGACCGCCCAGGACCATCCAGGACCATCCAGGACCACCCCGGTGCCAACACGGTGTCAACACGGACCGAATCCCGGATCACCCCGGATGTGGTCCGGGATGGTCCGGGACGGTCCGGGACGTATATGGGACTGTAGCTTAAAAGCATCACACTTTTTTTGAACAAAACATCCCGGACCATCCCGGATCACCCCAGACCATGGTCCGGGATGGTCCGGAGTGGTCCGTGCTCGTCCGTGCTGGTCCGGCTTTATATGGGACTGGGGCTTAAGACGTGCCACTGAATGCTATAGTGTCTTCCCTCAGGCGCGTACGCAGAGAGAGAGAGGGGGGGGGGGGGTTGGGGATTAACCCCCTCCAATTTTGTTAATTGTAATTTTTGTTGGTGCTAAAGGAGGCACACACAAAATTGTGACCCCCCCCCCCCCTCCCCCAGCCACTGAACGAAATATCTGACAACGTAATTTTCCAATTTCCGGGACAAAAAGGGGAAAGAAAAAAAGTGCTCTTCCCATGCAGGTATAATCAAACACAAGTCATTATCCAGACAAATTCATCGGAATAGAATTAATCTGGGCAATTATTGACAAGTATCAGTTTACACGAGTTTGTGTGCAACGAGATAGCTTTATCTATACTCTACATTTCACCGATTGTAAACCATGAAATAGGGTAATCAATTAGATGCAAAATTATTTTTAAGGATTCGCTTTGGCTGCACACATGCAATAGGGACTTTTAGATGTGCACGACGAGAACGTGGTCTGCTAGGTGTGACCAGGGAGAGTGTTAGGGTGTGACGTCGTTTTGAGGCACTGGCACACGTTGCAGTCCACGTTCTCGTCGTGTAAATCTAAAAGTCGCTATGAGATTCCTTCCCGATCGAAAGTGTTTCGTGATAGATTTTCTTATGTAAAATGATGATAATTAATTCTATCTGAGTTAACGAAGTTCAAGGTCTTTTATGTTTGTACACATTACAAAAATCAAAAGGAAAAATTATTGATGACAGTGTTAACAAACGGTGACAACAAAAAGAAATGGTGGAGGCCTGTAGGGGGTGGACATTTTGTTCAATTACCTCCATTTTTTTAATGTCGGGTTGTCAAACATGTCGAATTGTGTGTCTCACAATGAATGTCGCGTGTATTTATTAAATTAAAACACTGACTATAGACTATCTTTTGTGAAAATATAACATTTTTGCAAATTGAACATTAGCAGAAAATATATGACGTCCACAATACAGCTAATTCAATACAACCCGCGTCATGCCTTCTTTCAAATTCCAATCATCAGATCGAAATCATATTCCACCTGAACTTGCACTGAACAAACTAATCTTCGTCTGCAAATAATCTGATTATTTGTCGGAAAACATGGCATTACCAAGACACGAAACACGCATCATAATAATTTCGTAGTATTTGCTACCATCATACCATGCACATCGTTTTGCGGCTCCAACGGGCAATTTCACCACGCGCAATTATTGGCTGACAAAGGAATTAGTAAAATGCGATCTCTACTCGCATGCCATCAATAAATCCGTTGCTTGAGCCTTTATTTGTAATTGCTCATTCAATAAGAAAATCACTATTTGACCCGTTTATGAAGCGATGAATTTGACATTTCGACAAATCTCAAGCACTCTTCTTTATCTGCGTGATTAAAGGATGCAAATCGTTAACAGCAGAATATTCTATATCCTTTGCCTGCGTATACTTCTTACACCGTTTGTTAACTCTGCTACTTGGGAGATATTTGTGAGAACTTAACAGATTGATGCAGCGAAGGATTAAGATGATTAATCTGTTGTGTTGCTTAGTATTCACTCATTTACTCATGCTACATGTTGCTCCAGAAGGTGAGATTAACAATTATCATTGCCATAATACTTTTGCTCACCTCTCTCTCTCTCTCTCTCTCTCTCTCTCTCTCTCTCTATATATATATATATATATATCTATCTCTCTCCCCTCTCCCCCCTCTCTCTCTCTTTCTTTCTCTCTCTCTCTCTCTCCCTATCTCCCCCTCTCTCTCTCTCTCTCTCTCCTCTCTCTCTCTCTCTCTCTCCCTGCCTCCCTCACCTTTTGTTTTATTGTTCCACAATGGAGTATTACTGTCATATAAAAATCGCCCCTCTCGGGGGTGAGGGGGAAGCGTGTTCAAATAGTGAGGCATCAGTGTTTATACTAGTTCACGGCCTAATAGTACCTCTGGAAGAACAAGTGCGACTATACCAGTTACTTTTTAAATTGTTGGTCGGATCATTTATAGTTCCAAGTCTTTTACCGAGATCTGTTTTTTGTTTGTTTCCTTCTTTAAAATACTCTTGTTGAATAGAATTTGCAAGCGTTCATATAATTTTTGACACTTTTGCTCCAAGCGGTGGAATAAATGAAAAGATATTATGACACCTACAATTTCGAGGGGGGAAAGGGGAAGGACTACTTTGACAGATAATGAGATAGAATGACAAGAACCTTTAAGATATTATTATCACACTTTATTGAATACTTTCGCTTTTTCTTTTCAGCCAGTGCAACATATCAGAATAGCTTCGGGCATTTCCATCAACCGGATGCTACCAAAAATACTCGTAAATGCCCCAACACCAGCAAGCGAATGGACAAATTCTTTGTCAAGTCTAAAGTTAGGTGTGCTTCGGCGTGTCTTCAAGACTTTCGCTGTTGCTCCTTCAGCGTAGCGGCCAAGATAGATGAGGCAGGTAACATCATGTGCGAACTGTATTCGGTTTCGCTTGGAGAGGGTGGAGGGATATCTTTAGGGGAATTTGCTAGTAGAGGAAAGTGTCAGTATCTGGAGCTGACTGGGGTAGGATGCGGGAGCAATGGATGCAGAAGAGGAGATGAGAGATGTACGATGTACGAATCGACTTCAGTAAAGTCAACAACGGAGGTTCTTCCTGGTGGAGGTAGTCAGTCAGGGGAAAAAAAATAAGATCTCCCACCAACTACAACTAGTACAGAATCGGTTTCCAAGGGGCAATCTTCTTAATGAGGGTTCAAAGTACGATTGTGTAATAACACAGTGCTGGGCAGTGTGTCTATATGAGTTAGTATATCTTCTTCTTCTCGAGTGTTCGTTTTACCCATCCCTTCCTTTCATGAGGAAGACCGTTCCATTCAAAAATTGTCTGACTAAATAAGGGGGAAAGTCCTCACTTTGGGTAGGAAGATGTTAAAATTTCCCTGCTTTGGGGTGCATTTTCATTGAAAATGAAACCAGAACCCTTATTGTGTATACGGTCTTTCGTTAAAAACCCAGTTGATAATGTAGGCCTAATACAAGTTTCATTTCAGATGTATTTTCTGATACAGTGTGTTTCTTCTATAATTCAGCGTCTAGATATAGAACGCAAGGTAAATATCGATACGATTAATGCATATTTTGAATGTTAAGAGATGTTAAAAATGTATGTACGTTTATGTAGGCAAGAAATAGAACATACAAGTAAAATCCTGTAAATTGTTATTAAATAATTGATTAACTGTTTACTACTACTAGTAAAGATTCGAAATGTATAAAATACAACTGGGAGATTTTCATTGTGATCATTGTAGTTTTGTATGATGCATTGTTATCTTGTTAGAAATATTACTCCCCCCCCCCCCCCCTAAAAAGAAAAGAAAGAAGATTTAGATGACCAGAAGACATGATAGTAGTAGACTTTTATAGAGTCACTATCTTCGTTGTTCACAACCAAACGCATTCCCTGTAAATTAATTATTCTTTCACTATAGCTAATTATATTAAACACAATTACACATCTCCATTATCTATTGCCATGATGTAAAATAGTTTGTTTAGTCTCTTTTCTGCGTTGAACATAATTATCAGCCTGTGTATCAAAAGACAAGTATTATCTTTAAGCGTTTAAAGCTACCTACGAACATTCCACACGGAGATTTGATTACGAAAAATTATACAGAGAGAGTATAAAACAATTGAATAAAACCACATCTTCGTGTGGAATGTTCGTAGGAAGCTTTACAAGGCTTATTGAAAACGCTTTTAGACAAACTTGTTTCTATAATGCTTGCAATGGGAAAATGCTCAACGTTATAAATATGAATTATCGGTGTGATAATGAAGGCAGGGCAAAATGGGAAACTGATGTATCAAATACAATGTAATCGTTTTCTTTTCAATTTTGTTATTCATTAATTGATGCTGTGTAAGAATGAGCTTTTTGATTCCTCTATATAAAATCCGCCAATGTCTGTTATAGCTATAGCTATAACAGACGTTGGCGCATTATAATGATTTCTTAGTTGTAGGATTAAAAGCGTATACTTTAGAATAAGATATTATGCGAAAAATAAGATACAATTACAAGGCCTATACTATACCCCAAAAATTTGAAATAAAAGGATACAAAAGACATCGAACAAGAAAAGTGAAAAAACGTGCAAAAAGAAGAATTGTAATTTGCTTTATTTTTATCAAATCAGAATCCACATGCCGTGTTAGGATTATTGCATCAAAAATTATATGTGGTATTTTTTCTCAAGCTGAAGTGAAATTGAGTTGGATAATAAAAGAAGTACTAGTAATACATCTAATTATAGCGTATTGTGTCCATGAAATCTGAAAAGCTTTTTAAAAATACATTGTTACGTGTTAACAGCACCTTTAATTGTATAAACAGAGAGAAAAAGATGAGGGAGGCAGGAGAAAGGAGAAAGAGAGAGAGAGAGAGAGGGGGAGAGAGAGAGGAGAGAGAGAGAAGAAGATGAGAAGGAAGGATCGTTTTCTTTTCAATTTTGTTATTCATTAATTGATGCTGTGTAAGAAATCTGTCTATTGAAAACAAAACTGAATAGAGAAGCATCCTTATTCATTACGGTCATGGTATGGAATAAAACGCATCATCATGCATAGGCCTACTGAATTAAATAGACCTATTTTCAATTCATTATGCTATAGAATATCAGGGGGGGCTACGCAGTGGGCTTTTGATATTCGTGTCGGCAGTTTAATAATAACATTAAAATCTTTTTAGTAACTGAAAGAAAAACTGTTCGGGCAATTTTGACTATCAAACTAATAATCGTCATGCATGTACCCGGAAAGTGTATAATCAGTAAATCTGCATTATTTTTGTTAAGTCATTGACATCAGAAATGATCAAATAATAGATGCGAACTGAGTAATAGCAGTGAGGCAGCACACGGTCTTGTGGATAAGGGATTGCAAAGGTAACGGGTTTGACTCCCAGAACCCACTTGTCCTACTTTTTAAATATTTTTGTTAGTGTATATCACACTGACTTGCTAAAATCTTTGTTTTTTAAAGGGGGGGGGGGGGGAAGAAAAAGATTTCTATAAGCTCTCTTTACCAACTGACTTTTTTAATTAGAAAGGATGTCAAAACGCCTGATTTAAATCATCACTCATTCTTCATCTTTCAGATCTTTCGATCGAAAACAGAAAGTGCCAGTCTATTTACTTTGTGTTGTACCTTGTACAGAGTGAACACTTCGGGGACTTATTAAATCAATACCTTATGCAATGTAATATCAATGTGATGCAATATATCAAATCGATTTTGTTCTTTTCGTTTTTCTTCCTTTAATGAGATACCATTGTACCTTTCCCCGCCCTTTATCTTTAATATTTATAATGATGTTTTGTTAGTTGTTTGTTTTATTTATTCACCATGTAAAATAACTGTTTACAGATAATAGAATACAGTGGGTTACATTGATATAATACATAGTAGGAACAATGCATAAACAGAAAATGTTTGAAGCGCAACATTCCTAAGTAACATAGTTGATAATTATTAGGTAAAAATAGAACATGGCTTAAAATAAGACATTCGTTACAAAAATAAAACAAAATACAAAAATCATGCCCCTTAACGTATTTGAATAACAAGCAAAAACAATGAAATACACATTACCTCTTCTTGACACATTTAGCACTATACAACATGTACCTCAAAAGTTAACGATTATATTTTAAGAGAAATATTTCCTTCATTTTTTTTTAAAATGACATAATGGTTTTACAAGCTCGTATTTCAGGTGGCAAAGCGTTCCAAATGTCAGGACCTATATATCTAATTGATCTTTGGGCTAAGGCGCTCCATGGTGTAAACAAATGGAAATCAGAAAAATGTCTGGTTGGGTAGTAATTTGTGAATGTCTCTATTTAGAGTAAAATCGTTACAAAATGATAAAGGCAGTTCTTTTTTATTAAGTCGGTACATGAACACTGCAATTTGCATAAGATGAATATCAGTTACCTTCAGAGTTCTCAATTTGAAAAATAATGGGTCAGTATGATCAAAGTACCCAGGGCCACAACAAAGTCTCATGGCTCTCTTTTGCAATCTAAAGATACCATCAGTATTTAATCTATTAATAGCCCATACAATGTTACAGTAAGAAATACGTGAATGAATGAAAGAATTGTAAATAATGAACAAAATATGGAACAAAAGGCTTTAACATGTTCATAACACCAATATAACGAGACAAAACTCGAGAAAGATCACGTACGTGTTCATGCCAAGACAGGCACTCATCAATATAAATGCCTAGGAATTTGGTGTTTTTCTTTTGTTGAATGGAGATGTAATGGGGTTTGAATTTTAAATTTATTTGAAAGGGTATATATCAGTAAAATAATAACAGTGAACATCAATGTTAGTTTAATACAATGCTAATATACACTGTCGCTCATATAGTTGGAATATTTTTGTTTTACCCCAATTTGTGGAATTATTTTAAAAATAATTTTAAAATAATAGATCTAGATAATAGTATACATTCTCAGATTTTATTGGATAATAATTTGACAATGTGTGTTTTGCGTGACTGCTAAAGCATGTGTATGCTACTATGCTTATCAACTGGGGGACCTACGCCCTTAAGTCGTACATGACAGTAATGAGGATTAATGCCCCACAAAATGGCACTAATATAGCACATCGACACGGTTTTGATCCTGGGGCCTCACAGTTACAAGGCCATTGCTTTGTCACTGAACCATGACTGTACGCAGCGGGAGCTAGGGGGCAGTTTCCATAAATAAAAAAAAAGAAAAGAAAATGCAATAAATGTTTAATAATTTAATTGCATTTTACCCCGGTTCCCAACATAAAAAATCCTCTGTGTGCCCATGCCTTGAGCCATAATGCTTGGCCTAGTTGATAAGCATAGTAGAATACACATGCTCTAGCAGTCACGCAAAACACACATTGACAAATTATTATTTAATAAAATCTGAGAATGTATACTATTATCTAGATCTATTATTTTAAAATTATTTTAAAATAATTCCATAAATTGGGGTAAAACAAAATGAGCGACAGTGTATTTCAAGTTTTTCTTTGCCAAATATAAGGGATTTTTTTTTTTTTTTAATTAATTTTTTTTTTTTTATACTTTTTTCAAATTAAAAATGTTTTTATATATTCATGATCTCCTGATAATGCCTCAATGAAAGTATTATAGGAAGTATATGAAACACATCAATACTATTTCGGCCATTTATATCATAAACATTGTTGCGGTTGATCTAAAGGAAAGGGGATTAAAGCACGGTATGTCAATGGATTCATCAACAACAAAAAGAAGGGCCTATAATTATGGCGGGGAGGGGAGGGGTAGTGTAGAAAAGGGGCATTTTTTACTCTTATGAAAATGATAACTGTAATTATGCTTCAGCCACAGTGACTATTTCTGTGTTTCCAACAACAACAAATCTTCAATAAAAACATCTGTCCTTTTGTAAACTGATTGTCTTTTCTCAAACCATTCTTCTTTTGAAAATCATTTGTCTTTTTATAAACCCTTTGTCTTTTCGGAAGGCTTCCTTTTTCTTCCAAAATCTTGCTTATTTTGCCAATCATTTTGTCTTTGTCAAGCCTTTCATATGTATGCTTGCATTATATGTAGGCCTACCGTGTTACATTTTTGTTGAAATAATAGATTTATTTACAACGCATATACGTCTGTTGACGGGCTGTTGACAAACTATATTCGTCTTTTTACAAATCATTCACCTATTACAAATTAATTGGTCTAAAAATTGCAAATTTTTTTTCTTCATCTTTTGCTGCAATTTTTTTTTCTTCATCTTTATGAATGGTAAGGTGATATATGGGCCCTGTCTAACTGAGACTAATTGTGATTGATCCATTCGAATCAATCGCAAGTTCTCCAATCAGTCAATTCGCAATATCCCATCTACCTACTTCTTTTTCTTTGACGGGACCTTTATAGTAGATCTAACAATAGTTGTGTAATTGGGAGCATTAGGCTATAATTTTTGATTTTTTTTTTTTCTTCTTCAAGGATTTAAAGAATTAGAATATTATTTTTAATTAAATGATATATTATATCAGTAAAATTAGTCGGGGATTATTTAAAGAGAAAAACACTTTGTACCTTTTATATATCATTACGAAAATGATCAGTAACATATAGCGCGCAGCGCAAGTTGAGCGATGCGGCCTAGCCTGTGGATGACGTTCATGACGTCATAGATCATCCTAGCATCTTCAATCAAAGGCTTGCGAAACAAAATGTCAGCGCCCATGGAATTATGCAATTTCTTGTAACGATTGCTCTGTGTTCGTTTTGACAGTTTGTTTGATATTGTTGTAGATGGTTAAGATAAAAAAAATTACAGCCAATAGTCTAGAAAATGTATTCTATTCAAGGACTTTCACGGGCTTCGTTAAAAAGGACGATTTCTGGAGTAAATTCTGCTTTTTGTAGGACATACTGCCCATCGACTTCACAGAGTATCTCCACCCCGACTGGATCGGCAGAAAGCGCTGCTAGTGATGGCTACCAACGACGTACTCCGCGGCCGCAGCTGCAGACAACACTCGGACGTGGATCATTTCTACATTTTCACTCACGATGTCTTCAGGTTAATGCACAGCGTTTATATCAATGTTATCACTGATTATATTTTATAATTTTGTCATTATCATTATTCATGAAATTAGGAAACCACTAGTCCGTGACCATGGACCAGGCATTGCATTGATGGACATCCACTCTTCAATATGAATCATATAGATCTCTATGAAGATCAAAAGCTTCAGTCTCTCTATATCGTTGGTTGTTCCACTGAGACTACGTCTGGCTCCACTAGACCTCCGATTATATTGTATTGAGGAATGTCAACAAATGTCAGTTTTATTAAAGAAATGACCCATATCAGACGGTTATTTCTGTCTAAGATCTAGGCTAAATCATGTACTGTATGTAGCTAGGCCTAGGCGGTAATAAACTGAAGATATCATGCAAAGGAAAGACCAATTTAATGTGGAAATCAAGATTTTTAAGAAAATATGTACCTGGTCCAGACATAGTAGAGACGTATTAAAACGGGCATTTCCTTTAACAGAATCATATAGCATATTATTATCAAACATGAATAGTTGTGGGAAATAAACAAATAAATAATACATATGATGAATTTGTGACTCTTTTATTGTATTTGTAGTTACATCGAAGTTGTGACGACTTCAAATGCAATCTGCTGAGTTTAAACCTTGCACACAACCAATAAAATTAACCCATGGTTTAATTTCATTATCCTAAACTCTAGAATTAGTCTTGATTTGTTAAAAATGGATCTTAATAATCAAATTGGTCTTTTGGTAATATCTTAAAATTTCTAACATTTCTATTTATCTTTGATTACAGAATGCCTGGTCGAAAAAGAAATACCAGAGTATTGAGAAGGAAGTATGTGCCTTTGATAGTCTTCTTAAGAGGTCTGGATATCATGACAGGAGTGCATTATCCAGTCTCCTTGTATCCATGGGTAAGTTTGTGAGCTGAAATGAATGTAATGGAAAGACACTATTGACTGATTAAAATGGGGGGGGGGGGGGGGGTACACGACAGTGAAATAGACCATTTTAATTGCTAAGTATTGATATTTCCCATAATTGTACTTCAATAAATCCAATATAAAAGGGTTGAAGTTTATATTTAATGTTATTTTTTCTTATTACTAATGCCTTGACTGATTCAGGATAAATTATAACTTTCATGGGCATCTTTGATGAGTTTGTCCACTCTTCTTTTGAGAAATGCATGTTAATTGCAATTTGTGTACATGCCTGTGCATATACAATGAAAGCATAGGATGATTTTTCAGTTGCCGAAGACGGTTATTTTAATTTTCTATTTGAGAATGACCATCAAATTATAATCCACATCAATTTCTGGGAGTGTGACTGTGAAGTATAAATTTAAAGCATTGTCTGATTTTTTTAGTTGTTATAAAGTCATCTTTTATAAAGATTTATAGAAAAGTAATCAAAAGCATTAAAAGAACAGTTTGATAGGACGTCTTCTGAAAGAGAGAATTCAAATTCTTACAAAGTGGAATTTCTTGTGCTCATGTACTACTTTGCTACAGATAACATGAGGAGTTTTAGTACTTCAAGTGCAATGCAGCAACAGAGAGAGGATCAAGATCAGAAGGATGATGAAGGTGAGGTTTTCACAATTTTCAACAGCTTTGATAAAATTAAACGACCTATCCTTGACAAGCATGCAGATAGGTGGGAACGCATATTATATATATTGAAGAATAGACACATTGGCTTTCAAGAGTGTTTGAATCAAGTTATGCTTATTGCAGAAGCAAGAAACTTTAAAATGATGCGCATGATATGTGTTGGCAAGTACTAGTAACTTGAAAGCATGACATCCCACTAAACAGATGGTCTCAAACAAGCTATGGAATTTCCTTACAAGAGTTGGCCCAGATGTAAAGTAGAAAGAGAATTGAGGGAAAATTGCAGATAATTACTGAAAAAGATAATGATGGTTTTTGGACCTAAAGTGAGTTTGCCATTCTAAAAGTAAAACTTGTGAAGCTACCCTCACTTTATCCATGCGAGAAAAGAAAACAATATTTAGGGCTATTTTCTCTTTTTCCCAAAAAACTAGACTCTTTTCCCTCTACTAGTATTTGCTTATAAACATTGCAAAAAGGAAAAAATGGTCAAAAAAACATATGTTTAGGCTAAGGACTTGGAACAAAAGACAGATGAAAAATATATTTCAGAGTTGAAATAGTCCAATTTATATTTTCTATGCTGTTTAGTTTTCACTTTTTTTCCCCCGCTAGTTTTAATCTATTTTATTTTGACCAGGGAATGCATGTATACCTAAGCCCTACCGCCTTCCGTGTCTACCACTATGTTTTTTTAACACATAAATTTGTCTATGTCAGTTGGGCCAACTTTATGAACCTTTCTGATTCTTTGTGTTCTTGCAGATCCAAGTAAGAAGGCCGGTGATGGGGAGAATATCAGGATGTTGATTGTTGTGATGCTGATCCTAACTCTTCTTAACCTTCTCTCCAGAGGTGATGAGGCTCAGAACATTTCATGGCAGTCATTCGTCAATGATATGCTTGCTAAAGGAGAGGTAAGAGCTAGTCATGTGCCACCAATAATTATATCAATAAAAATGGAATCACTCTATTAAGAAGAGGTATTGGATCTGATAACATTGGTGCTGTAGGGAGAACAGAGCTCCCCGTAGACCTCATTCTGTCACTTTACTTCATCCCTGACTACTGTAATCCCAAACGTTTTTTTGTTGTTGGTCACATAAGATACACATATCTTATATTTGTGTTATCTTCTGTTTGAATGTTCTTTTAACGATTCCTTCAGTATTCTGTAACCTGCATGTTTTATAATGGAGAAAAAAATAAGAAAAAAAGAAGAAGAAAAAAAAAAAAAAAAAATTGTTTTTGTTTTTTGTTTGTTTGTTGTAACAAGTTTACTGGGTCCAAGCTTCTATTCAACATCATAGTAAAATATCATCTTTATATGTGTTTCTTTATCATCAGGTGAAGGATGTGTCAGTAACGTATTATGATACTGATGGCAGTGGAGAGAGCAAGAATCCTGAGTCTGATGTAGTCCATGTCTTCCTGCATGATGGTGCTATCGTCTTTGGTAGAGAGGTATGTGATTCCAAGTGATTGTTAAAGTAGTCGCCCGAAGAGAATTCACAACAACTGATAATTTTGGACAAATTATATGGATGGAAAGATTTTCTCTTGAAAAACACAAACAATCTGCTGAAAAATCATATAGATATCATGGAAAGGCGTAAAATGCAATTTTGTGGCTAGCTGTGTCTCGCATGAGACATCACAAATCTTGACGCTCTACAGAGGACTGCTGAAATAATCTGTCTCCCTTTGTCGTTCCACTATCTTTCTCTCACCCCCTTCTACCCCCCCCCTCTCTCTCTCTCTCTCTTTGTCTCTCTCTCTCTCTCTCTCTCTCTCTCTCTCAATATTCCTTTCTTTCTTTTTAGAAACTATAATAAAGGTTAACCTCTCTCAATTTGATTTACGATCACCTTGTGTATTTTCCTCTCCCTCTCTTCTATCTCTTTCTTACCCTTTTTTCAATCGTTCTCTTCATTCGTATTTGAATGTTTGAAAGTGTATGGTGAGGCTTATTGTGCTTCAGTGGGTTATTATACTTCTCTTGGTATACATTGTGTTGTATTGCTTATATCATTTGTTGAAAGGACCTCACTAGATGAGCCATCACTTTTTCTCAATCCTAGGTCGGAAGAGGACAGCCTAACCATTTCAGGATGCGTGTTGGCAACATTCAGAAGTTTGAGCAGAAACTAAGGGAGGTTGAGGAACAGCTTGGGATCGCACACAAAGACAGAGTAATTTAATATATAATTTATTTAAGGCTCATTTACATATGCTGCAACAAACAGCTGTGATTTATATTGACAGGTTTTTACAATGTGTACCAAATGAATGGCTAGAGGGCATGGAAAAAAGTTGTGTGCAACAAAAGTCTTATGCATACTCAATTTTCTGTATGTGATAAGATACACAAAATATGAAGCACAGTACACTTTTAAAAAAATCTTGTGATGAATTATGGCATTTTACCATGTGATATGTGAAGCAGGCTTCATAAGAGTTTTTTTTCTCACTTTATCAATTCAAAGTAATTTTCAAAATTACAGATTTAGAATATTAAGTTAGTATGTATCAATGATTTTTGAAGCAACCATTAGACCCATACAAACTGAGAGGCTTGTTTCATTTGCCATTGCTAACTCACTATTGTAAATGATCGCAAGATTTGACCAGGAAGATGACTAAACTTCAATATAGTAATAAACCGTCAAATCAGTCCACTGCCCTCTTGTGAATGATGTCTACTCATCAACCAACACAAAGAGTGAGAAATGGCAATGGCTCTGGGTTACCATATTTGACAAACAGCAGGAAAATATTCAATAACAAAAATGATTTTAATCTAGATTAAGAGACAAACAGGAAAATATGTTAGAAATGATATCTAAAAGAAAGCATGAGTTTTTATTTAATATTTCATTTTCCTTTTGTTTTGTAGATTCAGATCCGTTACCAGCATTCTAGCTCTGATGGAATGATGAGTATCCTGGGAACAGTCCTTGTTCTGGGTTTTCTCTTCTACATCATACGCTCAGCAATGAGAGGAGGAGGGATGAATGCTTTTACTCAGCTCAGTAAGTCCCGCTTTAATCTCAAGGAGTTATATTTTACATGATTATGCAAGAGAAACATTATCTCATATGCCTACCTAGGAAATTTCTGACAAATTAATTTAATTGTTTTATCTGTATTTCAGGAGTTTGAATGCTTCATTTCAAGAATATTCTAGTTGTGTTAAGATCGCCCATACACGTAGCTTGAAGTTCCATCAGAGTAGGCGCAATTATGTGTTACCCGAAGCCACTGGTACTCTAATTGTTTTAAAACCCAATACTTCAGGGGCGAGACTCACTTGTAGGCATTCTGTTATCCCTTTGATCTTTTTCGCACGACTTATTTAATTCAATCAGTTAATTATTCAAGTAAAACAGCTTGTATAAGTGAACATTATTGAATGATATTGTTCAGCCACTTTTGAAGAATTGTAAGCAAAACAATATTTGCCATTCTTATTTATGAACAATCCAATAATAGACAAACCTTTTGGAAGTGCATAATACCATTTTGATTTGCTATATACAAAGTTGGTTTATTATTATTATTATCATCTATTTTTTTTCTTCTGCCTCTACTCAAATGTAGTAAATAACAATATGTTATGACCTTTTGACCCAATCATGACCTTTCCTCCCTTCTAGCTAAGGCAAAGTTCACGGTTATAGAGGAAGGGGCTTCTAAGGGAGTGTCCTTCAAGGATGTAGCTGGCCTCAAGGAAGCCAAGGTAGAAGTCATGGAGTTTGTGGACTATCTAAAGAGACCAGAAAAGTTCATGGAGCTTGGTGCAAAGGTACAGTACTAGGTCAAAATCTTCGCAAATTAGGACATACAATTAAGGTTTGCTGAAGGATGATTCCATACATTTTTTCCACAATTTTTGTTATTACCACCCTGGAAAGTTACCTCTTGTGGAACCATGTTATTCAAATTACATCATCTCTTTGATCTCTTGAAGATGTGAATATGAATCGTATATTTAGCTAGGTGGTAAACTGAAGATAAAATGCAAATGTACCTGGTCCAGACATAGTAGAGACATATTAAAACAGGCACTTTCTTTAACAGAATCACATAGATCTAGCATATTATTATTAAACATGAGTAGTTCTTATGGATAATTATTTATATTGAATGTTACGTTAAACTAAACCAAACTAAATTGTTAATTTGTTAAACAAGAAAATTAAAATACTGTATATATGCCTTAAAGTTTTTAATTCTCATGAACCAAACACTTTATGAATCGGATGAATTTTTAACATCAGTGTATCATGTTTTTTCTTGTCCAAGGTCCCCAAAGGTGCCCTCCTCTTGGGCCCCCCTGGATGTGGAAAGACTCTCCTCGCCAAGGCAGTGGCTACTGAAGCCAATGTGCCCTTCCTAGCCATGGCTGGATCAGAGTTTGTGGAGATGATTGGGGGCTTGGGAGCTGCTAGAGTACGCAGCCTCTTCAAGGAGGCGCGTAACAGGGCCCCCTGCATCGTCTATATTGATGAGTTGGATGCTATCGGCAGGAAACGATCAGATTCGTAAGTGAGAGAAGCCAAGGAAAATCCTTGTCAGTTTCAAATCGTCTGCTGAGAGCCAGAAGGGTGTTAATGCCCTTCTGGCTCCAAGTGGGAGAAGTATTCTGTAAAAGCTCTTTAATGTCAAACAGTATCTTATTATTGGTTTGTGACTTATGTGACAGTGGGATTTTTGTACAAATAATTGATTCGAGCATGAATGGTTATGATAATGTGAATAGCCCAATGGTTGACTGGATTAGGTAACATTCTTTGATGGATAATGTTGACCTTTCTGCAGTATTAAAGAGAGATGGATTGCATACTGATAATTGACAATTATGCAATCAAATGATTATAACATTAGTTGTATCATATATACATGTACTATTGAAGCATGACAGCCCAGTCTCACGATATGCATTTTTAGATGAAATATCATGCCAGGTGGTTTCCCTTAAGTTCTGGCTGATTTTGGTTATGACTACAGCCTCTGAATCAAGAATATATGCAATTATTTGTTCCTGAGTGAAGAAGGTATTTCGTGACACAAATGTTTGTAATGTTCTATTTTCAGAGCTAATATGAACTCGTCTGGTGAGGAGGAACAGACCTTGAATCAGTTGCTGGTTGAGATGGATGGAATGGGAACTCAGAAAGATGTCATCATGCTTGCGTCTACTAACAGGGCTGATATATTAGATAAGGTGAGAAATAAGAGGGAGCTCAGAAAGTAATCCCCCAAACACTTGGTCACCTCATTGATGTTTAAGAGATTCAGAGAAAATTTTAATTTGGGGAATAAAATGCTGTAACTTCTTTTGATAGTCATTAGTAGGATATATGTTGTTTGCTTTTGTTGGTTGTTTATTCCCAATAAGAATGTGAGCTTATCATCCACATTGTATAAAGACATAAAAGAATTTTCACATGTATGCAGAGACCAAGGATAGGCCTACATAAGATGGAATGGGAAAGAGCTACCCTGACCAAAGTATAGCCTGCTTCCCAGACCAAGTTGAATGCAAGCACTATTTACAAGAAAATATTGATAGAAATTAATGAATGGTTTAAGTTGAAAAAGTTGAACTCGCAATTGTAATGACAAGTTGGTTGAAATTGAAAACTTCCAAATTGATAAAAAATGTACATGCACTATTAAATCAGGTTATACTACTAGAATGTGACAACAAAAATCAAATTATTTTGAAGTTGATTTATGTCAGTAAAACCTAAGTGAATATTTATTATACTGTACAGATTGTACATATTTCTTATTTTAAAAAGAAGAAGAATAAATTGGAAGGTGCATTAGACATTTGTAGGGATTTAGGTGACTTGGCAGTTTCAGTAGTTTTATGTTCTCAAATCTTTTGTGCATTGTCAAAATCAAGGCTCTACTGCGTGCCGGTCGATTTGATCGACACATCCTCATCGATATACCTACCATGATTGAGAGAAAGGAGATCTTTGAAGTCTATCTCAAGAAGCTCGTCCTCAAAGGGAAACCAGCAGATTATTCCACCAGGCTGGCGCAGCTTACACCAGGAATGAGTGGTGAGGAGTCGGACCCGAGTAGATTGTATGGCCACTTTGTTAGAATGCCCACATGAAGTAATAAAATCAAATTCTGTATATACATGTTTATTTTGTTAAAACCAAGTTTCTGCCCCCAACTTCTCTCCTTTCTGCTCTTTTCTCTTCACATTCTTGTATCATCCAATTCTCCCCTCCCATTGCCAATACATATATTTTCCTTATTTGAATCCTTTAGTATTGATAGTACAGCAAAAGTGGGATCATATTTAAAATTACTGTATGTGTTTACTTTATAGAATAAATTAACAGAAATATATAAGTGTAACTATGATTATCAAGGAGGTTTGATTTCGGACAGGTAACAAAATGTGTTCCATTATGATTAACCCTTTTCTTGTACTTGATATTATTAAAGCTGGGAAAAATTAGTAGATTGAATCTTGTCATCTGATATTTTGCCAGCTAAGTTTATAGCTTAAATACATGAGCTCATTGCATACTATGTTTGACATCTTCGTTTTCATTCTATATGGACAAGAAGAAGCTCTTATAAACTGATTAAATCTCTGTTTGTTGCTCGAGAAGATATTTTGCAATCTCAGTTTATAGCTTGAATACATGAATTCATTGCATACTATGATTGACAATTTGACATCTTAATTCTTATTCGATATGTACAAGAAGAAGCTCTTAGAATCTGCCTAAAGCACTGTTGGTTGCTCGAGAAGAGTCTTTCAGGCCCCCTCACAAACAGACTTAACAACTTTTTTCATGTATTTAACCCTGCCCCATCAGGAGCTGACATAGCCAACATGTGCAACGAAGCTGCCCTGCATGCAGCCAGGGAGGACCACAAGGCTGTTCACACTGAGAGCTTTGAATACGCTGTGGAGCGCATCCTAGCAGGTGCAGCAAAGGCTGAAAACGTGATGTCCAAGGAGGAACGTAACGTGGTGGCGTTCCATGAATCAGGACACGCCCTCGTTGGCTGGCTGTTGGAGCATACTGATGCTTTGTTGAAGGTCTCCATTGTACCAAGGGCCAGTGCTGCACTGGGGTTCGCACAGTATCTTCCCTCGGATCAGAAGCTCTACTCAAAAGAACAGGTACATTATGCAATCATATTCCCTCTTTCTGTACTGTGGTCAGCAAATTTTTTATGTTCGGACAAATAATATGTACTTTTTGTTTTTATCCGTTCGAAACAGAAATGGGTACATTAATTTGAAATTTGTCCCTATGATATTTCATACCCTATTTATGTACGAAACAGATATTTAGAACTCAATATTTGAAAATTTATTTACAAAAAATGTTTGTACCCAAGGGCTTCCAAGGAACTCCTGTTTAGTGCTTTTAGATTAAATTTGATATTAGAAAGTTATTGCTGTTATTTTGTTTAGTGGGAAGAATGTATCGGGTTCTCTCACAATGATATATGCATATTTTTCTGCTTGTTTGAAACCTTTGTTTTGCTCTGCACCGGTTTTCTGTCAACCTTGGCATGTATCAAAGAGTGTATACACCTGTTGATATCAAAATCTTAACGTTTAGCTGATGAGTTGGCCATGATTTGAGATACATGCAAATAGATAAGTCATGAAAGTATGAATTCCTCACACTTTTAAAAATGAAATACTTGATACTAGGGTGACAATCTGATACGATTTGTTTGATTTTTGTTTCAGTTGTTTGACAGGATGTGTATGGCATTAGGAGGTAGAGTAGCTGAGGCAATCATCTTCAACAAAGTTACTACAGGTAAATACTTCATTGTTTAATATAATATATGGTTTGCATTGACCCCCATATTCCAATGAATGCATCACATTGTTATGCCTCTGATACCATAGTGCAGGAATCATCATTAATTGCTGGCAAAGAGACAACAAGAACTCTTCAATTATTGTTGTAGTGATGTTTTAAGCATTGTAATTTCAATAACACTTTACAACAACTAGATGATTGTCATTATTGATCACAGGAATTGCAGTTTTTTTTTTTTTAGACTTTAAAGGCTTGGTGTTCAAACACAGACTTGAAATCAATCTACAGAAGATTCTTTGCGATATTAATTTAATCAAACTGTATCATTTCAAGTTTGGCATGTTATACCAATTTTAATACCATTTCTGAGTCTTATTCCTTGTTATTCTTTTCTTTTTATGTTATGTTTACTTCTTGTCTATCTCTTTCCTTCATCTCCTTTTTTCCAACTCATTTTCTTTTCATTTTTTACTCCCACCCATGATGTCCATGTTCTTTCTTTCTTGTTCCCTTCCTTCATCTTCACCCTTTGCTTCTTCTTTCCCTCCTTTGCTCGTCTAGGAGCCCAGGATGACCTGAACAGGGTCACCAAGTTGGCTTACTCTCAGATCAGATCTCTTGGAATGAATGATGAAATAGGACACCTATCATTCCCTGAGGGTAGCTCCAGTGAGCTAGGCAAGAGGCCTTATAGTCATAGGCTACAGCATACGATGGATGAGGTAAATACCATCAGACATGATTCAGAGACTATTTTAGTCCAAAGACGGTAGCGATGCTGCCCTTTCTGATGTAATTCTGGTTAGCTAGGCAAGAGACCTCACAACCTTAAAGCGTATCTGCACTAGTTTGGCCAGGAGGGATTAGACCTCCCTGCATGGTCACTGACAGGTGGTTATCTCATCAAATCAGCTCTCAATTAACATAAGAAAAAGGGGACCATGGGGGACCAACGGTCACCACTTAGGCATTGTTTGCTATACAGAGGGCGCAGCGCAAGTACAGTGGGGCTTTACTATTTGTTTAGTTATCATGTTTAAACAAAATCTAACTGCTAAATCTTTATAATTAGTTCTTAATTCAAACTGCATGAAAGTACATATTGTAAAATGTAAATTTAAAAAAGAATATTTAGTGTTTACAAAATATTTTTGAGACTGAATTTTCCCCCTCTTTTGTAATCTTACAGGAAGCTAGGAAGTTGGTTGCTACTGCATACAGGGCTACAGAATCTTTGCTAAATCAACATGTAGATACATTGAAATTGGTAAGACTATTTCATTTTATTTTATTTTGAAATAATTATATATATGTAACTGTATCGCCATTGAAGTGGCTGTTTTATTTTCTTTAATAAATCTACTAGAGCAACAAAAAACACAATAGGCACTGGTAGATTTTTACAGTTGTACATTATTGTGTTATTAAGAAACTTTTACGATAAAATAAATTTGACAAGTACACTTTAACCATTTGTATGCTTGACACGTCCAATTAAAAAGTCTGAGACCACATTAATTTCTACAGACCATTATTCAACTTATCAAACCTGAGCATCTAATTATCTGTTTAAAATGCTTGCCAAATTACAGTTTTTTATCCTGTTGCCGGAACATTCTAAATATAGTAATGAAATTTAAAAAAATTTAAATCTTTCTTTGATCATTTTATCTTAGTTGTCCAAAAATCTCCTTGAAAAGGAAGTTCTGAACTACACGGATGTTGAAGCCCTGATTGGACCGCCACCATTTGGAGAAAAGAAGATGATTTCCATTGATGACTTTGACATTATGAACTATAGTGATGATGAAATGGATGCTGAAAACATGGGGAAAAAAAAGGAACAAGAACAAAGATTGAAAGAACAAGAAGAGGAGGACAGATGAGTGATGTGTTTGGGATTTAATGGAACTGACATGAGTGCATGGTTCTCACATTAGAAGACTCTATCTCGATATAGTTTGTCCAGAACTTCAGAAAGCTAGTTCATATAAGTTTGCAGAGTCAGGTGTCATCATGAAGTCCATTGCATCTGTCTCTGTGGAATGAAACTATTGGATGTGAAATAATCATGTTGTAAGCAATGGAATCTGTGCATTAAGACTGTCCATGGAAATATACAAAGTGACATTCCTAGACAAGGGTCTAATTCTCTTTATATCCAGAGAGTCGGAATGACCGGCCTTTCTAGAAAGGTGGCCTTTCGGAATGGGTCCAATGATAATGTAATTTAGGTATCACAATAATCGGTCTTTCTGGAAGTTTGTATGATGTTTCACAATAGTTCAGTTGCTCTGCTGTCAATTTCCTACAATTATCAAATTCCTGATTTCAACCCAGAAACCAACATTGTACCATATCCAAACCCTAAACCTAACCTACAACCCAACTATAACCCTTATTCTAACCCTACATGTATATCTTTGACAAATTAAAGCCTGGAGCAAATGTGGGATCACAGTCTGGAAAGATGGTCTTTCTAAACAGGGGCGGTATTCTGAACATTGTTGTAAGTTTTGTGTTATCTTTTGTTGTATCTTCCAGAGATAACACAGCGCTAATATTGTTGTAAGTTAGTATTCTGAACATTGTTTTATCCCTGTGTTATCTCTTGAAGGACCGCCTCTATCTTATCTTTGACCATTGATGACACGCTAATTTTTATGGACCCTACCAATCAAAATCTATTTTAAATAAGCATGATATTAGGTCAACCAATAGGAATACTTTATGCCATATCTGAAGATGCGCCTAGCGCATACTAATCTTGGGTGTAATTAGTTATATGAGCACTTATTACGCGCGTCATCATTATGCGCTGTTGAATGTGGATCATGAAGACAAATCACGCTTTCACTATATTGGTTAAGATGAGAGCATTAAAATCGTCATATCGTAGCATGTAATATCATAGAAAGTTCTCATCTGTGATGTTTTCGGTCAACAAACAATCTTCCTCTAACTCGTCTATTGGCACGAAGTTGATTCTGGGCAAAAAATATTGCTGCCATTATATCACCACGAAAGATACAACAACCCCCTACCTGTTGTAAATATTGTTGTAAATACCATGCAAGATAAGATAAGATAAAAGATACAACAACTTTCAGAATACCAATTATCTCGACATATTATCTCCCGTGCGCATATGCAAATGAGGATTAAATGCCACTTTATTAATAATACGCACAATTACAAGCGCACCAAAGTATAAGCGCAGACGCGACCAATAAGATGAGAGAAAAGATACAACAAAAGATAACACAAAAGCTACAACAATATTCAGAGTACCAACTTTATCTTATCTTCAAAGATAAAACAATATTAGAGATAACACAGGGTTCAGAATACCGCCCCAGATATATCAATCTAAAGAGTCAGAATAATTGCTTTTCTAGATGGGTGACCGTTTCGTGGAATGATGGACATGAAAGCAGTTTGGTAGTTTGAAATTTCTCATTCTATATGTCTCTTTCTTTCTTTCTCTTATTTATCTTACTCCCTGTAATGTCATTTTCTCTTTGCCCTTTCTCTCTATCTTTCTTTCTGTGTCAGTTATTACATCTTCTTTTATATTTTTTTGCAACAAGGGGTGTATCCTTTTATGCAGATTAAAAATGTATGTATGATTTATGACACAGCATAAATAGGTGCTTTTGACAGGGAGAGAGAGTGAAAGTGATTAAGAATGGGTAAGAGCGAAACAAGATAAAAAGATGTGAACAAAATTGAGGTATTAGAGAGAAAGTGAGAGAGAGAGAGAGAGAGAGAGAGCAATCTGATAAAATTGCACGAAATAAATTCTAAGGTATCATAAGCTGCATGCTTTTGACTTACGACTTGGATGCATATTTTCCCTAGAGCAAGTCATTGTTTCATGTCATATGCACTTTGCTGTTCAAACAATTATTTGTTCATTAATGCCAATATGTTACTGTAAATATAATAAAATTGTGAAATATATGAAATTATATGAATTTGTGTTTTATCAATTTGTTTAAGAGTCTGTGTCCCTTTCTGCCAACAATGATCATGTTTTACAACATGTTTTACAACTGGAAGTATGTGATTGTTCTGCACATATCTTATCTCGAGTTTTATGAAAGTTCTCATATATGTATATTTTCTCTCGCTGCTCTGCTCCTTAAATTGTCAGAATGAAGGGGTCTGTGGTTTTAAGTCATAGGTGAAATAGATTATTTCACTTTACCGGTAGTCTATTAATTATTATATGTGAAATGTTAGTTATATTTCCAAAAATACATCGTTATCTAATATCTTACATGTATTTCATTTCTCAGACCTAAACTCTAGTAACTTACAAGAGAAAACAAAAAGAAGTTCCACTGACCGGTTATTGTACCTGCTTGAGGATAACCAAAAGAAAATACTAATTATTCTTTGACAAGTCATACTTGACACACAAAGAAACATATGAGCTAAAGGAGCTTCACTATCATCAGTGAGTGAAAGAGGGATGGAATAGAGGAGGAGAGAGAGAGAGGGGGGGGCGGTGGAGGGAGCTAGGTAGGGAGAGAGAGAGAGAGAGAGAGAACAGAAGGGGGTGTGCATGTGCCGATGAGGGAGATCAGATAAATATGTGTAGAGAGTGGGAGAGTGGTGGTGGTGGTTGTGGTGGTGGGGGGGGGGGTCGAAATATAAGAAAACTGAAAAGGAAGAGTGAAGGTAAAATAGTTTTAAAAAAACAGTGAGAGAGAGAGAGCTAGAGAAGAAGGAGAAGAAAGAGAATATGAAAAAGTGGCACATAGCATCGAAATGTGAGAGTCATGCAAAGACAAAGTAAGGAGGTAAGGATTATTATAAGTCCTTCAAATGGAATCCAGTAAATAGAGAAAACTTGAATAAAAATGAGCAATACCTATATATGCATTAATTATAAAGGACAATAATTTAATTGCTTTTAAGTATATTCATCTTAACTTTTATAATCATTTTACTCATCTATCTCAACTGTAATTCCCGAGTTGGAATTTTTTTTTTTCAAGGGATTTTTGATATGCTCAATAACAAATGTAACCATCTATATCTGGCACATATTCATCATGACATAATTAATTAATGCTGATGAACGATGTCACGAGATTCTGAGACAATACTAGTCTTCGATCAAGAATTGGTTAATTGTAAACAGGACGAAGTAGTCGACGATTAAACCTTCCTGAAACATAATTATCGGCAGATTTAGCACTAATCGAGAGATTTAGAGCTGCATGATCATGCCGAATCCCGGAGAGGAGCCAGTACTTGGTACTGGTGGACAGATTGATGGTAAGATTTAGCTAGACATCGACAGAGCTCAGAGCTTAGCTTTAATTATTTACAACTTTGCAGCGGTCATCCCCACCTGTTTAATTTTGCGTTTGTTCTGAAATGCGAAGCTTGTGGGAGTGGCCAATTTTTGCAACACTAGGCAGTTTCCATTTATAGATTTAATCGATTTTCATGTAACTAATTATGAATAATACTTTACTACTACTACTAATACTACTACTAATACTGCTACTAATACTCATAATAAAAATAATGATAAAGTCTTTTTAAAGAGCTGAATTATTCAATTTATTTAGACCCAACTTGAACTTCTCATTTTATGAATTGTTATCTAGAATTATTTCTATATGACGTGCTGTCTTATCAACATTTTCCCCTTATAAATAGCTAAAGATGGAGAACTGCATTGTTGAATTGTCCACACTATTAATCAAGAAACCCTTTGTTTTGTTATTTATTTTCAGAGTTACTAAATATCAGGGCTCAAATTATTTTTTTGTCCACGGGGGCTCTTCCCCCCCCCCCAAAAAAAAAGAGCCCCCGTGAGCCTTCTCACTGGGGCTCTTTTAGTGCTGACGGGCGCTCTTATTTTAATACAAAGTTTCATTGAATTGGTATCCATAAAACTCCTAAATTCCTTGTTTTTATCATCATTTATCGTCCACGAGCCGCGTAGCGACGAGGCGATTTTTGTTTTCGCTATTTTGAACCCCCGTAAGTCAGTGATGTTTTCCTGATATCTACTAACATGCGGAGCATCGTCCACGAGCCGCAAAGCGGCGAGGTGATTTTTTTGTGCTATTTTTAATCCCCGTAAGTGATATTTTCCTAGCATCTACTAACGTGCGGGGCATTTTTTTGGTGCTATTTTGAACCCCTGTAAGTGATGCTTTCCTGGCATCTACTGCATCTTTACTGTGTAGGTCTGGACACATGGCATTTTTCTATGCACATCATATTTTCACTTGGCAGCCCAAGGGGGAGGGGGGGGGGTAGGAGGGTTAAACCCCCTAAACCGCCTAGATCCGCCCCTGCAACATCTTTGGACTTGTTCTTCTTCTCGATATTGATTTACTGGTCGAGGTACATAATTTGCTGGTCTTGTAGAATCACCAGATTTCAGAGGATTCACACTTTTCACAACGAAAAACTTCTGCATATTTCAGTCTTTGCGTGATCGTCTCCAGCTCCAGCAGATATTGGGCGTCGGCGTGCAAACCTGTACTACCTGCGCAGTATAGCCACTGCTGACGGCCGCACAATATAGTGCGAGCTTCCTTTTTTTTGTATTGGTAATACTCATAGAGATGGGAGAGATAGCGCCATCTAAGTTCCATTTCATTGGTTTAAGGTTTGAAAATTGATACTCAATATTGTGTTAAAGTTATATCAGAAAAGATAATCTTTATTTTATAATTCCACAGGGGCGAGTTTTAATTTTGCAATCGTCCCCGTGAGCAACCTGACGGGGGCAATTATAGAGCTCACGGGGGGCGAATCGCCCACCGCCCCGGTGTATTTTTAGCGTTGCTAAATACTACTAATTATGTGAGTTAACTCTGATTCTGTTCTGATCCTGGTCCTGATCCTCAAGAGGGATATAAAGATGACCAATAAGAATGTTATCGGTAACATTTAGCCTGATAAAATGTTTCCTTTAGTATCAAACTTAATTAACTTATCAAAGTTAATTTTTAAACTAAATTCTAGATCTGTTTGTAAATGCTTGTTTTATAAAGGCGAAGGTATGATTAATGTCATTAATTTGTTTTGAATTGAACTTTTTGGTCTTGGAGAAAATAAACTTTTGATTTCCCAACCATTATGCATGGAATGCACTAGTTGCAGTATGATAGATTAACCCTTTGAATACAATTTGACTTTGATATAGAATATATAATTTCTATAAAGCCTATCCAAAGCCAAGTTATTTCAAGCTTGATATGCAATGGGTTAAAGAATACTGTTTCTTCATTTACTAGGTATGGTGATGTCCCTCATAGATGCTGCTTACGACAAGAAAGCTAACGTGAGAAGCATCATCATCTCATCATTGGTGGATGTCGGCAAGAAGAAACCAAAGCTTGTGCTCAGCTCATGCCACTCTTATCTAAGGAAGCATAACAAGGTCAGCAGCTATTCCTCAATCCTCTTATTAAATCTTTTTAAAGCATAAATAAAGTATTGTACGCAAGAGATCGAATCCCGACTTTGGCAAAATATATTTTTTTTTTTTTTTTTTTAAATGTCAAAATCGGGGGTGCGGCCTATACAGCGCTGCGGCCTTATCGCCGGCAAATACGGTATTGTTTAATTATTTTGCTCAATCTGTCTAAGGCATACAGTGTATTGACTGAATTATTCTGGAAGTCTTTTATTCAATCTCTGTTAACCATAGATATAGTGTAAGATGTTATATGAGATTGTAATCTGAGGAGTGTCACCAATCAACCCACCCCCTCTCCATTTTATTGTACTTCTTCTCAATTAAATTTTAGCTTGTTTCATGTCACTTTTTATAATACACAACTCTAAGAAAAGTCTTCCTTATTCAAAGCAATCTGTTATCATAAGTCCTGAATTCATTTCCTTTCTATCCATGTATTTGTCACTCTCTCATTCTCACTATCCGCCATTAATTCTACTTTCTCTTTGATACATCAAGCACATCTCTTCTCCGTACTTCTTGCATGATAAATATTCTGAATATTAAATTGAAAGTGAAAAGTTTAGTAAAATATGGATTTGTCAATTGTTCAAATATTTTTTATTTCTTTCAAATCAGTTATCCAAAGATCACAGGACAGTGATCCTCCGGACCATGGAACAAGTCTTGAAGGAGGGAGATGATGTACCTGGTGCTCTGTCTATGGATCTGATCAAACTCGCCTCCGATGAAATGACTGCATCCAAGGTACAGTATTATCAGAGTTAATTTTTACCACCCCCCCCCAAAAAAAAAAAAATATATATATAGTAGTAATAATAATAATAATTGGTACAACATTGGCAGTAAAGAAAAGCTCATTGGAAAAGAAAGAAAGGAAAACATGTGGTTTTCCTACTTTTCTTTTCATGTTGTGCTGATAAAGTTGCATGAAGCATTTTACTTTCATGGATGTCCTGCATGCAAACTCACTACATTGTAGTTTGGTAGGCAATGAAAAAGATTTAACTTTTGTATAATAAACACACCTTTTTTATAGGCTGTAGCTCAAGTTATATCAGGCTTAGTATTACTATTCAGCAGGATTAAGAGATTTAAATGAAGAAGGTAAATGAGAGTTTGATAATTTGCGATGCTAAATTGCTAACCATAATCTTTAACACGACTCTTCTTCATCATTTGTACATTGACAGGAAGTTGAACCAGAGTGGCAGACAGCAGCTAGTAATGTCCTGGTTGCCCTTGGTAACAAGCTATGTAATGATGTCATGGAGGATCTCTATAAGAAGTTCCAGCCTGGTTGCCTACCACACTTCTTTGTTGTACAGACCATGGCTAACCTGGCCAATGTCAATTGTGAGTCACTGTAAACATTGGTTACCTCTCTTTTTACCTATTCCTTGTGAAAGTGAATTGTTCTGGAGTAGATGTTATGAACTAATAGAATATTTCAAATACTCCTGCAAATTTCAGATTTTATATTGCTTTATGCATTTACATATACATTAATTCATATGTGAAAAAGATAATTCATTGGTTCAATTACTAAATTTGCTATTCCCCATCTATCCTGAGTAAAATGACCTTTGATTGTTACAGCCCTTGTCAATTATCTCCTTGTTTATCTGCACATTCCCCACTTCTGTGCTCTGTCTGTGTCTGTTTATGTCTGCGTGTGTGTCTCTCTCGCTCTCTCTCTAACCTGTGTTTATCTGTCTCATGTTTCATTCTCTGACTCCATCTCTCCATCTCTCTCCATCCCCAGATCCAAATCTCTCTTCTTTTACCCAAATGTTGTAATTATAGTAACATTAAATTAGCTCTACCCTTCTGTGAGACATGTATGGAAAAGTACACTGTTGTTATGCATGTTTTCTTACTTCTCCTTTCCAGCATTTGGGTTTGTTCCCCATCTGAGCGCAGTGCTAAGCACTATGATTCCAATGCTAGGCATGGCTAAACATGACAACATGAAGTGGGTCTTCTCTGCAGGTAAGATATGGTCCTGTTTCAAGTTTGATAAATATGGTTCATTTGGGATATTTAGAGGAAATATGTTGCATAATTGGGTAGTAATTATTATATGATATCCTTTTTCTGATACAGATGTTTCTTTTAGAATACACATTGGTTGGAATCTTACTTGCAATTTATGATTGCATTGTGGCCAAAATTTCATTAGATGATTTTAGAGATGTTTCTCTTCTTGTCATAAGAAACCAACTCCCACTTTCTGAAAAGTTACAAGGTGCTGTAATGTTATTGCCTGTTGGCCTGAACCTTCCTAAATCTGTTTTTAGATGGTTGATTAAAGTCATGATTGCCTAATGAAGCAACCATATGATAACAATTCTTAGTTTTGTCATGAAAATGTTGGGCAAGGGGATTTGATTCCACGATATATATTTTGAAGAAACCCATTTGCTCAATTTGTTGAGGTCAAAATACCTTTGCAGCATTCTAAGTCAAAATGTTTTCTCCCATTTTCTTCTAGCTTTTGCAAGATTCAGTGAAAGCATCCTACATTATGTAGCCAACTCTGACACTGCTCCAGATCCAACAATTAGAAAGGAAACATATGCTGATCAGATCTTCTCTGGTTTTGATGTGCTCTTCTCACTATGGCTTCCATCCAAAGAGGCTAAGGTAATCTATTTTACACCCATCTGTATTCTTTGGAAGTACCATTAGCCCATATTAATTAAAAAAAGTTAAACCTGGTTTTCAAGTATACTGATTTATTGAGTATCAACTTTTTATATTTTGTATGAATTACTCATTATTCCTTTACAATTTTTTTTTTACAGAAATGAATGAAGTAATGGAATTATAATGAATAATTTTTACATGATTTTCTTACATTCCAATGCATCCTAAGAAAAGCCATGTAATGGGAAAGAAGTGATATTGGTGCCATGCTATGAAAATGAACCATGTTATACAAATGAAGTGTTCAATGCTTTGAAATATTGTCTTCCCACCCACCACTTATTTAGTCCTGGAAAATTGTCAGGAGAAGTAAAGTAAGCATGGTGCAGTTTCGTGGATCTCAAAAGTATTTGTGAGATGAAAGATTGAGATTGATGGTAGTTCTTTGAAGCATTGAAAGAGGATGTAAAAACATTGATGTGTGATGACTCCTCTTTTGCTTGTAGCTACGTCTGATAGTAGTCGAAGCCTTGGGTCCAATGACACACATCATGACCAAAGAGAAACTAGAAGAACAGCTTCCTAAACTTGTCCCTGGTATCCTCGCACTCTACAAGAAACACCAAGAGGCTTTCTACATCACTCAGGTATAACATTGTATTTGAACTTGCTGTATAAAATTGTATTTGACCTTTATTTATGACCTTTTATATGACCTTTTATATGACCTGTAGGCCTACATGTATGTACAGCCTAGTATTTGACCTTCCAATATGACCTTGTATTTAAGGCACTTTCATGACTTTGAATTTAACACTAACTGATTCCATTTAGGTCACCTTCTAATGTAACTTTGTATTTTACCTACGCATATAATGTAACATCTATATCATGTGACCATGCTACATTTGAAGTTTTAAACAGGTATTGAAGGATCTTTTTGACCCTTGGTAAAGGAAAAAGACAAAATGCATGATTGTCTTGCCTCTGTCTTGCCTCTTGAAAATTCTTGTGATTACTCTGTATTATTTCATTTGGTTATTGAATACTGAAGAGAACTTTCTTTGTTCTCCCAAATTCAGAATGCTGTTGTAACATAGCCATTCATTATGAATATTCATGAGTTGATGACCTTGACCCTTTTGTTTGTGTACAGGGTCTGTGTATGATTCTAGAGGCAGCAGCTGCTGAGGGGAGTATTATTCTTGAACCACAGCTGGATACCATCCTCAACACAATGCATGCACAGGTCAGTTTCTTAAGTAGCAGGAAATTTTATAGGAAGTGGGCTCCATTGTTGATAAGCAAGAAAGTTTTGTAATATTAAAGGTATTGTCATTGATATGATTGTAGAGATTAAGTTTAGCATAATGGACATTATGTCAGTATTTAGCGCAAGATTTGATTCATTTTGCATGGTAAAACAGACAGTCGATACTAAGTTATTCTCCTAACTGTTCATTTTTTTATATTTTATAAAGAACCTTGACCAGAGATGAGAGGTATCTCATCTTATTATTATGCAAATGTTTTGCAAACAGTCAGGTATTTGATTTATATTTGAAATATCAATTACACTTAATGCTGATTTTGATTTAAAGATTAATCTCTTTCTGGATTATGTTTATCCTTATTCCGTAATTCAGGTATGTGTACCAGCAGATTACACCAACCCAACTGCTCTAAAGAACCACAATGAGGTCCGTCGCTGTTTCTCAGTCCTAGCCACATCTTTCCCTGATCGTGTAGTCACCTTCTTGCTCCTGAAACTAGACAGCAGTAATGAGAGGATTCGCATCGGTACACTGGCTGTGTTCAAACAACTCATCAACTCGTCAGGTACTAGTGACAGCGCATTGTAATGATATGAGACATTTCTACAAACCAAAATCAAATTTACAAAATGATTTAGACATGAGAACTTGATGAAATTTGGGGAATTTCAGGCTCAAGTTCGGAAACCATGTATATTTGTTGAAAAATTATACTTCTGGTATAGAGCAGTTTCGAGTATGAACTGATTGCAGGAAAATAATATGTTGTAAAAGACCATTATAAGTTTCTCTCAATCTTGTTATAATTTCTGTTACTTTATTTCATTTCTTTCTTCTTTCTTCTTTAATTTTTTTACCCCTGTTTCTCACCTTTTTCTTTGTATTGTATCAGATGTAAATTACCTGCTCTCTTTGTCTATCTGCCTGTCTCTTTGTTTGTCTTTCTCTCTCCTAGCTTTCGCTTTTTCCAATTATCTTTAGCTGTCATCATAGTTTGTCTTCTAATGAACTCAGTGTGACATTTTATGTTTTTTTGTGTTTGTTATTTGTTTTAGGCCCCCATATGGAAGACAAGAAGCCTCTTATTCTATCTGGTCTCAAACCTGTGCTACAAGAAAACAACAACAAGGTTTAAAGAAAATATATATTTCTGTTTGCCATCTATTTTTGTAAAATATAAAAATAACTGCTCAGATATTCCCCTGAATACTGCTACATTTTCTAGGCCTTCCATTTCTAGATCTTTTGCTATTGCAAATGTTATGTAAAAAAAATGAAAAAATGAAAAAATTAATTCTGTTTCATTGAAAAAGGGAGTAGATCAGATGGAGAAAATGTCTCTGCATTTGAATCCAGCCATCAGTGACTTTAACATTTTTACACATTCTCTTATTTATTTATTTATTTATTTTATTTATTTGTTATTATTTATTTATTTATTTATTTATTTATTTATTTATTTTTAATTTTTTTTTTTTTTTTTTTTTTTTTTTTTTTGGGGGGGGTTGTTTTTCCAACTCTCTTCTTAGGGTTGTTAGCATTGTTTAAAGTTTAGCCTAGACCTCTTCTGAAGCACAATAGTTTGGAATTTCACCATTTACTTTTTTAAATATCATCATGTTGTAGGTGAAGAAGATGTTTGCTCAGGTGGTAATAGCCATGGCTGATCATGAGTACTTGCTACTAGAGGGCGGGCATCAGATGGTGGAATTCATCATTCGACAGTGTACCCTTACACCAGATGTACAGGTGAATAATGTTGATTTATTGATTCCTGAAATTCAAATTCAATCAGTTTGTAGCATTGCTTGAAGGAGAGTTATCTGTAAATTCACTTATATCTCTCTTTTCCAACTTTTTTTCATTGAATCTGAAGGAATATTCACCCCTGTGTTAAATTCTCAAAATAGAATTGTTCAATACATATGACTGAATATCCTTTTTAGATCCTATCTTTCATTACAAAGCAAGAATGCAATTTATTGCCTGAACTTTTTCTTGGATTTTGAAGCAGATTTGATTCAACCTCCTAAGCACTCCAAGATTAACTGTCATTTTATGTCAATTTCTGTTTTATAAAAAGAATGTCTTACTGGAGTGTTGAATTTTGCATCAAGTTGTACAATGAACAACTAGGTAGATATTTTTGATAGAGAAGATGTACAGAGAGCTATGAATGAATTCAATTTATAAGAACCCCTTTGAATTTGCTATCAAATATCTTTAAAAATTCTGCTACCACAGCATAGGAGAAAAATTAATTTGATTTACTAGACGCATTGTTCTGTTTGATTTGCAGACTGGCAGAAGGAATCCAGACCCTGAGTATGTGAGCAATGAAGCATTGAGATCTATGAGTGAGAACGTGCTTCATCTCATAACTACAACCATTGGTAGCATGGAAGAGGTAAGAAATTGGTTTGATTGGAGGTTCTTAAAATTGGATTCTGTTTGATTTGATTTCCTGCACAATTTTCATTTTAATTTGCTACTGGTTTTATATGATTTGTTTGATGTGATTTTGTTTGTTTGGGTTAGGTCTGGTTCTTTTTTTTTATCTCTAGACTCTATCAGTTTCATTGAGATTTAACTTGCATTCACTTGTTTTAATATGTATAGCATACATTGAGTTCCTTTTAATAGTGTACACATGTATATGTTAGTAGTCATGTTGAGCCCAACTTATGAAATTTGTTATGCCAAGAAATAAGAATTTGTAAATGTAAATTTAATAATAGTTTTCACCATGTGAACAAAATAGATATTAAGAAAAGTATGTACCTACCAAACATTATGAATATTGGCTCATGCCAATAAGAGATGACTTTTAATTCTCTCTTCTCAGGTTCTATGGCCATTCCTGTTAGAGTTCCTAGCTTTACCTCAGTACACGGATGCCATGATGTCACTGTGTCGTAACTTGGCCTACATAGCGGCTAAGAAACGCGAGGCCCAGGATGAGGACTACATGATTGACTATGAGACGTTGGCTAACGTCCCCAGACCATGTTCTATCATTGCCAGGCTCATGGTAAGTAGAGATGTCTATAACATCTGTATCTTCATATGATTGTCTAATCTCTGGGTCATCTAACTGTAGAGGCTAAAATATGTTCGCAGGAAGGGGTTTGTGAATTAAGTATGCATCAGTTTTAGTTATTACTAGTGCTATGTACATTTTGATATTCTCAATAAATATGGTATAGATGCTGATCTGTTAAATAAAAAAAATTACTAATAGGCCCAAATGATTTTTGTCTCCAGTGTTTCTTGGAATAAGCATTCATGCTTAATATAGTTAAATGGTCTCTGAGAATTGTAGGCCTGCATGGAGTTTATATAACTTGAAAATTCTTGAGTGCTGATTAAGTTATCAGTGTCATAGATGCTGATCTGTGAATAACAAATTTTACTAGGTGGCCCATTTGAATTAAAGTTATCAAAGGCCACAAAACTATGATGAAAATGATAATAACAAAGGTGATATATGGTTTCATCCCCCATCATGTTATACAGGTAATGGCAGGTAGACCAGACAACGGTCGCCAGAGAGGTGTCCATGTCCTCAAGCTGATGCTGGGGCTCTCTCCAAACCTGAATGAATCAATCGCAGACATGTGGGATGCAGTCGTACCCAAGCTCATACAGTACATAGAGGGTGAGTGTATGTAGTACAGCCTATCTCTTGCTTTTGACCCTGCTAGCTTCTTGACCCTGACTAATTTTTAATTGTACCTGGGTTGCAAGAGAGGTGTCTATGTCCTCAAGTTAATGCTAGGGTTGTCTCCTAACCTGGACAAATTTATAGCAGACATGTGGGATGTAGTCATATTCAAGCTCATTCAGTACTTTAAGGGTAAGTTTCTAAGAACACAGTTTTGCTCAAAGAGATTCATGTTTGTGGTCCTTCCTACTAAAAAGGGAGTCAATGATAGAGTTAATAATTTGTTGTTGATTATTGGAACTGACTGACTATTTTTTTTAACCAAAACTTATAAACAGAGAAGTTTTTTATAGCCATCATAATTTCCAGATCTTGATCTTGTATTTGAAGCTTCATCATGTCTATTCAGAAAGGCAGACTGCCTGCAATACTAGTTGATCTCATTTAGGATTACCGGTAGTTATTGTAGACTTTGAGAGATGGACTTGCATATTGATTCCCTTCTATATTTCTTTTCACTAGACCATCTTGATGATCCTGATAAGTGGTCCCAGAAATCCTGGGAAGATCTACTTTTGAAGGTAAGCATTTTCAATCTGTTATCAATTAAGTGACTCATATAAAATCTCTGTTCTCTCTCATTCTTTTCCATTTTGTATGTTTTTTCTTTTTTTCTTCATCAGTTTCATCTTATTATTCTTAGTATAATTCTTACTTGTCTTCCTGAGAAGACATCATCTTTTTTCCCCTTAGTTTTCCTCATTCTCCTTTTCTGCTCTTGATGGTAAAGTCTTGTTTTTCAGCAAAAAAACATTTTCATAGAAAATCCATTGCATTCTTCCCATCTGTCTACATTTTCTTCATCCGCTATTCATTTATGTTTGTACTGAGGAAGAGTGTATTGTATCGTCAAGTTGTTGAATACAGATGTTTTCACAGACAGCACTACTTTATATTTATAATTGTTGTTGTTGGTTGTTAGTTGCTGTCCAAGACATTAGATGATGCACAGAATGAGGACTGGGTTGCTGAGTTGGGAACTTGCTTTGGAGAGCACACTGTCTTGTATCAGAACATGCCTGAAGAAAAGGTATGGAGTTGTAGCTGTAGAATGATATTGAATATTTCTTAAGGGTTCGGATGTAGGCATTTAACAAATCATAATTGCAATTTGTTTAAGATTAGCAGGTGTTTTTGGTTACAGTCTTTGCAGCTTACATAAATTTGTACCTAAATTCATTCACAGTGAACACCATTGTTTGTAGGTGTTATTATAGAAACTAGTAAAGGTAATATAAAGTTGGTTATTCATTAATAATCTCCTATAAAAATAAACATTTATCTGAAAGTATTTCAATTCTAGACAACTTGCATATTTCAGTCATATTTGATGAAAATATTTTGAAAGTCTTTCTGTGAAAGTAGTATATGTTTGGCATCTGAATTTCTGCTAACAGAGGATAATGAGACAGATGTATAATGCTATCTCTGTAACTTCCTTCTATCTCTGTATCATCTCATATCCTGTAATTTCCCATTTAGAATTTCTTGTACAAGTGTCTTGGTGTGGTGATGAGGAAAGTGACCAACAAGCAGTTCATTCAGAAGCACCTTGACATCATGTTTGCTACGATCAGACATAACGACCAGACTGAAAGAGAGGTAACTATAAAATTAAAAAAACATTGTATTCTAAAATGGGGTACCGGTATGTAAATAGAATGCATGTTAAACAGGGGGAGAAGTCGCATTGTGACCTTATACAAATGCAATGAACAGACTGAATGAGTGATGGGCTTAACCATTCATAACACAATTCTTTTGCTTGAGACTCTTATTGTCAAGAGATAGAGTCACAAACATTAGACAGAGAGAGACAGAGAGAGATAGAGAGAGAGAGAGAGAGAGAGAACACCCAAACAAAACAATCAATTTGTTCACATTGAGAATGATTACAGCAAGAACTTTTATAGTAAGTCCTTAGACTACCGAACTCTGTACTTAATGTATGTAAATAAAATTGTCAAATTTCATGTATGTAACTGATGTATTTGCTTGTTACAGGGTTGTGCCATTGGAGTGGGTTTCTGTGCCTCTTCTCATCTTGATCTAGCCCTCACCAAACTAGAGACAGTCACTAAGGGAGAGATGTCAAGGAAATCTTCTGGTTTCTTTAATTTTGTTAAGGTAAGAAATAAAAAGGTTTTTTTTTCCTTTACTAGGTCAATCTTAAAATGATGTATTTTAGCTGTGTTTTCCACGGTTATGATATATTTCAGTGTTTTGCATTGTATTAAGATCATTCATTGTAAAATATACACCAAAATACACATTCCTCTTGAAAATGATAAAAATTTCACCATGAATTTATAGAAAAAACTCTGAAATATCTAAACTGTTTTGTTGGATAAACAAAGGCATTTTCTTCTTTCATGTTTTGTACACTAGGATAAAGGAGGTGATGATACAGGTAAGATTAAGAGTACAGTGATGCTTTGCTATGGTTACCTGACCCTCTATGCACCTACAGACATCATAGCATCTAGGGTGGAGACCAACATCCTCAAGAACATCAATCCACACTTCAAAAACGTCAAGGTAAGACATTTAAAGGCATCGTTTAACAATGTTAAATCTGAGATGCACGGCCTGTGTGTTATCAGTGTCTGTGATATGGTGTAATGTTGAAGCCCTAAAAATATTTCGCTTCAAAATGATCAAGAACTGCCTCAAAAAAGTAAAAATCTTTGAGTGAACGGTTTTACCATACTAATTTTTTCCCAATATACTGTAGTGTTACGAAAACCGTTAGGAAAACACAAAATTTGGTTTCGATTTCCAATCATAAATATCTTGATAATCAGACAGGCAATCGGCTTGTAAATGTCATGGGGTTCCTGACTGACCTACAGGTTTATAATTATCATTGCAACATGAACTAAATCCAGGATATTGTTTCAGAATCTGAGACAAAGTTACCGGCTCCCTTTTAAGCATAACAAATATGAAGGTATAGGCTTTTATGAAACCATAGCAGTATGATATATACTTTTTATCTCATATTTAGTTGTTTGTTTTAAAAACAGTATGGAATGATTTTAATGGCCAGAACGTTAATAAACAGTGATAGGTATTTTATGATGATGTTGAGGAGGAAGAAGAGGAGTGACTTTATCAACTTAAATATGAAATATTACTATGATGCCATGAATGAGCACATGGTTAGAAAAGCTCTACAAAAGTTGTTTAATTTGTTATTGATAACACATTTTGCAGGACACTACTGTCAAGCAGAACCTAATCCGAGCTGTAGACCTGATTGGTAAAGCCTTGCACCCAGACCATCTCAAGACCAGGCACTCGTTTGCCAAGAAGACCGACCTCCTAGGTCACATGATGTCCTACATGCAGGCAGAGAGTACAAAGGAGATCACCACGGAAACAAGATCTCTAGCACTACAAGCATGTGCAGCGTTAGTGTATCCTTTTGGGCTCAATCAAATTTGAATAACTGTGAGCATCATGTGTATCTTTCTGCTCTAATAACTGGTTTAATATCATTTTGAAATTTTATAAGTTTTTAGTGGTTTATTGTTGCCATTCTTTGGATGTGCAATTGTCGGTCATAATAGGTATTTTTTGATGTCATCTGTCTATAAAATGTTTTCTGAAGCACATATAAGAGAAATGGAAATCATTTATCTTTAGGTATTAAAGCTATCACATCGAGGCTTCAACCCGTTGGGTGACTTCTTAGGTTCAAAAAAGAAATTGGGTAAGAAAGTCTTGTTCTATATGAGGAAGAAGAGTTACATGTAGCTGTGACCATATGCCACTCCTGGTATTTTCTGTTATTTCCTTGATTGGTTTGCTTACCCGATTTGAAAGTTGAAAATGCTTGTCGAGAGTAAAGATAGAGAAGAAATATAGTACAGATACATGTATTATGGTTCTGATTGGCCCCTGAAGGAAGTGCATTAAAAATAAAAACTATTCTTACAGCACGATAGAGTATGCTTTCCTTGACAGAACGTGATTCAGTAAACTTGACCCTCTCCTCTCTGAAGCCGATGCATTCACACTCATCACCACTGGTGTGAACTGTCTCTTTAAGCTACCTGACTGCCCCCTCATGACCTCCAAGGGAAAGGAAGAACTCAAAGAAAATGAAATCAAAGGTAAAGTATTATGTGAAAGATGATTTATCAGAGAATAAACCATGTTTGATTAGATTATATGGATAAAACACAAATCGTATGTGTGGAATAACCATTAGATGTCAGTCTTGCCCATGGTATTTGGGAATCGTAATGGTTCTTGTTGACAAAGTTAATATGAGCAGAAACATCTTTGTTGGCAATTAACTTCTGTATTTGGGGCATATGAAATTCATACTTAACTTGGTGAATACATATAAGGATCTCTTGTTTTTAAAAAATAGTCAAGTTTTTCTTTCATATATATATATATATATATACAAGCCGAAAGCTCGTAATAAACTTGTAAAGTACAGCTACGTCTCACGTTCCTAGACCATTTTCTTCACGCCTACATATATGCTATTTTACCCCCCCCCCTCTCTCTCTCTCTCTCTCTCTCTCTCTCTCTCTCCCTCCCTGCAACATCATTATCTCAACATATGCTTTCTCCCTACGTTTCCTCCCATTCTGTCTCTCTTTCTCTTTCTCTTCCTCTCTCTATATGAACCTCTCACTTTCTTGTATAATATTTATATCACAGAATATGATGTGCTAATAGAGTCATCCCTTGACAGTCTTCATGAGATGCTGAAAGAGCTCCTGAGGAAAGACATCACACCAATAGGCTTCCAGAACATCTTCAAGGTATGAGGATAATATTCTTTCTGGCATACCTCTTGAAAAAGATAACTATTTTAACCACTGTTTATGTGGTTATAATTTTTGTTCTCAACGATTTTACCAGTAAAAGAATCTTTTAAATTGATTTTTCTTGTGAGGTGATTTTATAATAGTATAGTTAAGTTTAACTTCAGCTTAAATTTCCAAGCATATGTCTTTATAGAGGGGGCAGAAGGAGACTTAAACTCTGGTTGAAATGACAATTTTTCAGGTCCCCTACATCTTATATCATAGAAGTACATAATGTTTCAGAGAATATGAACAATTTAAAACAGAGAATCCCTTTATACTGTCTGATATAATTATTATGAAGTTGAATCCATGTAAAATTTTAGTTAGCGTACTTTTCATAATAATTTTGTGAAAACCATTTCAAAATGCAAGTTGGCATTATTTAATTAAGGAAATCCAATTGTGTATTTCTATTCTGTAGCACCTCCATCCATGGATGCTCTCAGGTGAGGGACATGAGAGACACAGAGCAGTAGAGACAACTATGGTCCTTCTTTCATTCTATATGGAACATGTGGTGGATGTAACAGGGGTAAGGATGGAGAGTATGATCTCAGAATGATGTCAAAATGATGATGGTGTTGGTGATGATGGTGATAGTGGAGGTGGAATGGTAGTGATGGTTGTGATGATGAGAGTGATGATGATGGCAATGGCGATAGTGGAGTTAGAATGATAGTGGTGATGATGGTGATGATGATAGTGGTGATGATGGTGATGATGATAGTGGTGATGATGATGGCGATGGCGATAGTGGAGTTGGAATGGTAGTGGCGGTGATGGTGATGATGATAGTGGTGATGATGAGAGTGATGATGATGGTGGTGATGAGGAGGAGATGGAGGAGGACAATGATGATGGTTATGATGAGCAATATGATGTTGATGATGATTACCGGTATATAGCTGTATGGATAACTAAACTGTTTCTGTCCTTCTTCGTTCAGCGTGTAATTGATACAGTTGGGTCGAAACTGGTGCTGGTCATAATCACGATAACGATGATGATATTGATGTTGATGATGATGATGATGATGATGGTAATGACGGTAAATGTAATTTTAGGTGAAGGAGCATGAGAACAGTAAACAATTCCAAAATCTGAAGAATAGAGATGATTTTTTTTTTGAATGAGCGCACATTATTTTACCAAAGTTGATGCTCCAATAGATCACACTTTGCAGTGATATACCACAAATATCGATGAATCCATACTAATTCATATTTTCAATGTATTTTTTCATGTAGGGTCCTTCAGCCTTTACGTGTATGGGTGAGATCTTGGCCTACCTGGTCCCACGGTGTTCAGATCCCTGCATCGACCTTAGAGCTCAAGCTATAGAAGGCATTCAACTCACACTCAAGATAGCTCTACTTTATGAAGGTCAGCTTTTACAAAAAATTCAATTCTCTCTATATTTTTCACTCATTTTATTTATATATTCAATAATTCTTTTTTACTCATTAATTTTGTATATATTCTATAAATATATATTTTTGAATTATATTTTTATGTTCTATAAAGGATATGATCTTAAATGTATATGCTGTGTTGTACATCAGTTACAAGTCACATTATTGGAAAATTAAGTATGTTTGCAAGGCAATAGCTATTATGTTTGTGTGTTTATTTGTAGGGAGAGCAAGGGACTATGAAGACAAGATGGTGCAAGCTCTATCCGTCCTTCGTGGTAGGAGTACAACCACAGATGCACAGGCTCTCTTTAGTATCATCAGTGATCTCTCAAAGGTAACCCGCCTTTCCCTGCTGCTATTTCACTTGACCATCTTTTCACCTAATAGTTTCATGAACTCCCATTTTTAATGTAATGCTTATCTTAAGCTATGGTCACAATTCAGAGCGGCGACCGACCGATTAGTAGCCTGCTCGGTCGCCTCTGGAATTTAGGCATCGCCAAAAGATTTTTGGAGAAGTCGAGCAGGCGGTAGAGCCCCAGCAATGCATAGGCGGTGCCCTGTCGATTTCCCCTTGATCGCCGGTCAATTTTAGGTCAATTTGGGCAAAATCGGGGAGCTTCTCTGGGCGGCGTCCCGGAAGTGGCCGACTGATGACCCACCGATTTCCGAGCGGTCACCGGCTGATTTTAAAGAAATTGACTGCCGGCCGGCCGGTGATCGGCGGGGCACCAAAATACGCTCGGTGCCATTTAGGTCAATAATCGAATCCGCTTGGTCAAAGGCTGCAGACCGATTTTGGACTCGCCGCCAAGTGACCGCCTGATCTCCTAGCGGCAGCCTTTGACCTAGCGGCTTTGATTTTTGACCTAAATCGCTCGAAGGTGAACGCTTGATGAGTTCGGTACCCGGGCGGCGAGGGAAAGTGAGCAGGCGCCGCCAGAATTTTAACTTCGCGCTAAAACTTCAGCAGCGACCGAGCGATGCCCTAAAAATAAGTGGTGCCTGGGCGAAATTGGTTCAAAACTCGTCGGCCGGCCGCCGAGCAGGCTTCTTTTAGGTATTGTGACCATAGCTTAATCTAGAACACAAAGTAGTTCATGTAGTCTGAATATATAAATACATTTAAATTAACAGGCTCCAAAAGTACTCGGAAATGTTTATTTATGAAAGAATATCTTTCTTTCTCTCTCTCTTTCTCCCCCCCCCCTTCCCTCTCTCTCTCTCCCCTCTTTCTCTCTTTCTCTCTTTCTCTCTTTCTCATTTTTTCTCTTTCTCTCTGTCTTTGTCTCTTTCTCTGTTTCTCTCTCTCCCTCTCTCTCTCCCTCTCCCTCTCTCTCTCTCTCATTCTCATCCTCATTCACTCGATCAAGGCCCTGGCAAAGAGAGTACCCAGTGAGCAGCTAGAAGGCTTTGTATTTCTTCTGATAGAGGGCCTGCTTGATATCCAGTCTCACTCTTCCAGCGGTGCCTGCGTTGTCCTCAACACCATCCTCAAGTCTAGAGGAACTGAACTCATCACATCAGTAAGTATCACCAAAGACCCATTCACATATGCCACGGTTGAAATAAGATTTTTGTATGTGTATTAAAGCCCCTCACAGGTGGTTATCTTATCAAATCAGCTCTCAATTAACATAAGAAAAAGGGGACCATGGGGGACCAATGGTCCCCGATAAGGCATTGCTTGTTATATAGAGGGCGCAAGTAGCTATACATTGTAAGTAGTGCAGTGGGGCTTTAAATGAATGGCAAGTGGGGATGAAAATTGCTGATAGCAACAAGGTCTAATGCATACTTACTTATGTGTGTTATAAGATACAATTTTTGAAAGCGCACTATGGTATGAAAAAACACCTTGTTCACATATATGCCAAGGTAAACCACGTTTACTAAAACATGTGTGAACAAGCCTCCAGTCTTTCAGTTTACAACTTGAATTCTCCAATTATGGACATTATTCTTCTATTTATGTTTGCATTTTGCATACAATAACATATTAGTTAGTAAAAATCCATACCCAATGTTAGAGTGTTTTGGTTACTGAACCATAAGTATATGTAACATAAGTAATTTTCTGACTATTATATTGTTTCTTGGAACTGGATTATATTTCATCTTCGCTGTTATTATGTTGGTATTTTCTGAAATTTAATAACTTCTGCTTCATTTTGATGTATATGTATGCAAAATAGAGGAATGAAATGTTTGTATCCGTAAGAGAAAAAAAGACAAAAGTGAGGTATATATTAGTATGTTTTTATAACCTAATTACACAAAAAAAAAATTTAATCCATGAAACTGGTATAGAGTGCCTCTGTAATCCCATCCATTGATTTTCATGTCTTTTTTTCTTACAGGTTGTAAAGCTGATGACTGCCCTACACACCAAGCTAGCATCAATCACTTTCCCACAGACCCGTACTGGGACAATGAGAGCTATCAGAACCCTAGCTTCAACTCATCTTGAACCAGTCCTCAATACACTCATCAGATTCCCACTGCCGTATGATCAGTAAGTAGAGATTAAATCCTTTGGATGGACTCCTAATCATCCAGTGATTTCACGTTGAAAGAAGTGTGATGTTGAAATTCTATAGTACGGTAATGACTTTGTTAGACATGACAGTTATTGGTTTAGTAGTAAATCCTGTAAACTCACTTAGATATTCTTTGCAAGGCAAAGAACTTCATAACATTGGACCATACAAATATTTTCTTCATACAGCTTAGCATTCAGTGAATTACCAATATTTATAAAAAATAAAATCTTAGTATGTGTACCCTTTACCCCTTCCCTTTCAGTTCCCCCAATGAACTTGCTTCCCACATTGAAGTCTTGTGTAGAAAAAAGAAATTCCATCTTCACTCTCCGATCTTGGCAAGCATGCCTCACACAAACAAAGAGTTATGGAAGCGTTTATGTATATTTACATGGTTTCAAATTGAAGTCTGATGCATATAACCAATTAACTGATTTAATTTCTCCACCCTCCAGACACATAGTCGAGTGTTGGCGAACCTTAGCCTGTGATAGCAGTCTCCTACAGGCAGTCTATGAGAGGTGTCTGGATATGATGGCTCGTAATGTACATGTCGATGAGAAGATAGATCCTAAAACCAAGAAAGTCATCTCCAAGGTTGCCAATTTGATGCCACTGTCTGTAAGTAGAGGGATTACTTTACCATCTTCAAAATACATTCTCTTCTTGAGTTTAAGTTTTGGGTAAAATATTTGTTGATAATCATATTCTAAGAAAGATAACCAACTGTCTTTTTCAAGACTACACCAACAGTCCTTTTCAGGACTACACACACTCAAATGGAAAGATTACTAAGAGTCCTTTTCAGGAATCCTCCCCCTCTCTCACATGGTGCAACCGCAAGCCTACAGTGTAAATCATATTCTGTTCTTCTATGTGAAGAGAAGAAAGACATTGATCAGAAATGTATGACACATGAAAGGGCTTAGATAATAGGTAATATTAGCAGTAACTGATATAATATGGGGTTCCTATTCAACCATTGTCACTTCCAGATGACATTCTAATGAACTGTCATAGAAAAGGATTTACATGTATTTATAAAGCGTGTTGAAATGGTCATTAGTTTAATTAAATCAATTGGGTCAGTTTCCGGATCCTTGTATAACCAACTAGTGTAAGGATAAGGTTCTGTACGTCAGAGTCCTTAAACCGTAGCTTAGTTTGAAGGTTAGGTCAGAACCTACAAAATGACTTTCAAATGTATTATTGAAAAGCTTATAAATGTATGGCTTGTGTTTCATCTCTTTTCAAGGTTGTATCAGCTCTGACTGAAACATTCCAAGTGGAGGAATCAGAAGACGTTGTCTCTGATAACTTCCCCAGACTGTTCTCCTCTCTCCTGATCTACATTGGTTCCTGCGTGGGTAAGGTCAAGACTCCGTCCCTCAAGGCTGATCAGATCCAACAGCAAGAGATTGTGAATGTCAAAGATGTGAAGGCTTTCAACAAGGCACTGGCTGTCATCTGCCCTAGCTTGTGAGTAGACATAAGTTTCTGTTTAATCTGTTAGGAAATTTCAAAATTGATTTATCATTTATTCCTTCCTAAACATATTTGTATTTGCATGGTGGTCATGCCCAATGATGGTAATTTATTTATTTTATTTATTTATTTGATTTATTTCAGTTTTTAGAGATGAAGGAGGGGGAAAGGATTATTTGTCTAAAAGTCATTAAATAAAATTGAAGAATTGGGTGCCCCGTATCATATCAGTTACTGCTATGTTGCTGAAAGAAATTGAGAGTTAGCATGGACATTTTCTTATTCATCTATGATGTCTTCCCCTTCACTTTCCTCCTTATTTTTCTTCCTTTCTTTGTGGCTCTTTTTTGGCATTTGTTCTTCATTATCTTGTTCATCTTTCCACCAATACAACTCTTAATAGCATTATTAGCATTGTTACATTCTATTCTTATTGTTGATTAGCTTGGCGACTGAATCTATGAAGTCCCTGCTAGCACGAGGGCCCAACTCAGCTGATCTGATGGAGTTCCTGAGTAAAGAAGGAGTGTGGACACAGCTACAAGAAGAGAGCCAGTATGATGATGGGGTGCAAGTACTTGGAAGGTACGTAAACTAAGCACAATATGCAAGTGGATGGTTTTTTAGTTGGTTGGTTGCATGGTTGATGGTTGGTTGGTACTGAGCATAGCTTCTTTAGAGAGATAGTTGTAACATGCGCATTATGCACGTATGCGAGATAAGCCTCGGGTTAAATCATTTTGCTCCAATAGTTCCTTCCAACATACAATCTCTACGAGAGGGAACTATTCTGGAGCTTTATGAAATGCCTGATCAATCAGAAGCAACATCCGGTAGCTTAACTATCTCTCTCAAGCAGCTATGGTACTGAGTAAAGGAGTACTGACACCGCTACAAGAATGAGGATGGAGTACAAGAACTTGGCAGGTTTGTATACCTACTGAGATGGGTTAATGGGTTAGCTTGTTGATTGGTAGTTGGTGAGTTTGTTGGTACTGAATAATGAAGGGGTGTGAACACAGATATGTGTAACCATAACTCTTCTTTTCATTACTATTTGTGCTGTTCCATACAGGGCTGTAGCCGAGTACAGAGGCAACTACATTCCTCTGATTATTGGATCCCTCTCTCCAAACCTCAACAGTCTGTTTGACACCCAGAGAATCGTTACTACAGCTTTCCTAGCTGAGGTATGTGATGGAAGCATTCTCCCATTCTCTTCTATTGTCTGCCATTTTCAATTCTTGTCACTATAATAATAATAATATTTCTGCTTATATAGCGCTCAATACATTGGCAAGTCCAAGTTTCTAAGTGTTTTACAGTTATTACCCCCAGTCATCGGATTCTGGCTCGCCCGCACACAATGTATGCACTTTCTCCACTCCCTGGGGAGCATTCCAGCAAGAGCTACTAGGCTCACTACTTTGAAATAATAATGTCTTTTCCTTGTTTCCTTTTGGTATTATGAACTAATATAATAATGAAGGTTATACATTTGTTTCTGGACTGTTATCTAACCAACCTCTTTGTCTGCACTTCATAGCTACAGTAAATGAGAGCTCAGTTTTCCTATATGTACATCTACCAATTATACTTTAATAATCTAATACATTGTTGTTGTTGTTTTTGGTTTTACAGTATATTGTATGAAAATTGATGAAGAGATGTCTTTTCATCCAAAGAAAGATTGATGCTGACTTATCAAGTGTTTGCGTTTTATTTCACCACCATCTAGCTGGTCAATCAGAGATGTGCTGGAGACATCTCGCAGGTTGAGATCATCATGAACAATCTCCTTGGTAGGCTTGTAGATGGCAATGCTATCGTTCGTAAGCTGTGCATCAAGGGCCTTGGCAACATAGCAAGTCTGGGATCAGAGCAGGTAAGTCCCTTTCAATCTATCCATCTCCAAGACTGTGTTTTCTGATGTGCCAGTGCTTTGTATTTAACTGCAATTTGTTTAATTGCATGTCTAACATTGTTAGAAAGCATTTCTAGACTTTCAGTACCAAATTACTACACCTGGGCCTGTGGCATAAAACTTACCATTGATGGTAACTTTGCCATCAATGGTAACTACCATGGAAACCTTGATTTTGATTGGCTGTTGAGCCCTGTTACCATAGTAATTGCCATTGATGGCAAAGTTACCATCAATGGTAAGTTTACTGTAATGGGGCCCAGGGTAAAGATATACATGTATTTCAACATCATGAGAAAGGAATTTACCCCTTCAAACTTTTTATTTAAAAAAAAAAAAAAATTTCCAGATTGATTGATCGATTTTACCACAACACATCTGCAAATGCTTCAATTTCATATGTCAAGATAAAATATGTAAATGGTAGCTTAGATAAATAGATAGATAACTGGTTTATTAATGAAAAACATCATTGCGGCACAGCCAAATTGCGATGAGTTTACAAATATTCCTTTAAAAAAGACATAAATACATTTGTACAAACATTTAAAATACATTGGGAAATATAAGTTTTTATAACATCTTCATCACCACTTATTCAACTGAACAGGTTCAGAAGTATACTACCACCGTCCTGTCATCCATGATGGCTGGTATGGATGATAAAGATGACCCAGAGGATAGCATCACCTTAGAAGCCATGTCTGGTCTAACTCGCATCCTCATGGAGATCTCAGAGAGCAACGTCAGACCTATCCTCATCAATGTTACTCTTCGTATCAGACCTTGCTTTGAAAAGGTGAGTACAAGTCAAGCAGACAAGACTCTTCTTTTGATTTGAAGTTTTTGACGTCACTTCCTAAACTTTGTCCAGATTCATGTAAAAGAGACCACAAATTTTTATCACACAATATGAAGTGATGACCAACTCTGTATCTGTAGAGAATGCAGTAACAACCTTGATTTTCTCTTCTTTTCCGTGGACCAAACATACTGGATTACCGAGTGGGATCTACATGACTGGATTACCGAGTGGGATCTACATGACTGGATTGTAGGATTTGACCAGTTGTGAACACTCAAAAAATGAAATTGGTTAAGCCTCATATTTAGTCAGTCCTAGGTTTCAGCTACATTTTGAAGGGGATTGATGTATTAATTAGGCAATGCATTGTTCATGAACTACATGTATGGATGTAAATTACAAGTCTACCCGTATATGTGAGGATCGTGCTTTAGCATATACAGTCAAACCTGTCTATAGCGACCTCCGAAGGGGAAATACAAAGGTGGTCCTTGTAGACAGGTAGTCTTTATAGACAAGTTCCTTTAGTACATGTTTCAATGAGAAACCATTTTCAAGGGAAACAAAAAATGTGGTCTTTGTAGACAGGTGATCACTAAAGGAGGTTTGACTGTACGAATATGATTTAAACATACACATGTCTGTGTTTATCATGTACATGTAGGACCGTGCATCAGTACGAGCAGCTGCCTTCACCCTGTTTGGTAACCTGAGTCGGTTTGGTGACGGCCCATCCAAAGACCCCTTCTTGGAGCAGATCCACACCAACTTTGTCAGTCTACTGCTTCATCTTAACGATGAGGATGATGATGTTAAAAAGGTATATAATAAGAAGAGTCAGGATGGACTTGTCATTAATGTGTTCTAATCATATAAGTATCGAGTTTGAAAGTTGCTCAGCTGGCATGAGCTGTGTCAGTCAAAGTAGGACCATCCATACGTGGATTGTAAGTAATACGGGCTAAATGTTTGTTTTTTTTATAGCCCTTGCAATATTTTCTTTGGTAAAAAAGTTTTTTTTCTCATAATTTTGCCTAAGCTGTGACAAAGGAAAGCAATTATAAGAATCTTCATTACTACATTATATGTCTGTATACATCCATGTCATTCGACTGATCTCTTATTCTGATGGTGATGAAAGAGAATGAATATATTCTTTTGTTTTTGCAGTCCTGCAAATTTGCTCTAAGACAGTTTGGCACTCTGATGGGGTCTAGTGCCATGAACGAGATGTTCCAGAAACATCTAATAGAGGACAGGAAACTCAACTATGGAGAATTCATGTATGACCTCTCCAAGGTCATTGTAAGTATCCATGGCAACAGTTACTTCTTGTATAGAATCCCTTCACATTATTCCTGATAATGATTAAGTAAACAGTTTGCATTTGATGAGAAGAACTGTTATTGACAAGCTCAAACATTAGGTCGAGCATCTTATTCAGGCATGTATATTGATTTGGCTTTGAGGATTGGAAGATAAATCAGGGGAGCTGTTAACATTGTACATCATTTAACAGATTTATAGAAGATTTCATCAGCTTATTATGCAAGATTCAATCATCATGATTCCTAATGTACAGTCAAGTATTAATTCAGAAACAGCTGTTGTATGACCATATTCCATAATAGAAACCCTGAATACCTTTCTTTAAAGAACAAAGGATAGCAGTCAAACATAGCACTACGGTTTTTCTATTTGTCTACACATTTTCTTAATGAACAAGTGTATCCAGCTTTGTGGACAGTAATTGAGGACACTGAGTGCCAATGATTTCTGGTTGATACTAATGTTCAAAGGCTTTGTGCTACAAAGATAGCACATTGTCGAACCACATCGGGATGTAGCATACCATCCTTCATGGTATTAATCTCAATGTTATCTTTCTTTCAGATCGTGGACCTGCTCCAGAAGGTGAACTTCTATGTGATGGGTAACGTGTCATTCTTCCGTAGTGCATGGCCTGATATCAGAGCTAATGCTGCTATGTGCATAGGATTCTTACTGGGTAACCTACCCAAGGAGAATCACAGTCTTATCAGCAAGGATCACGTCTGTGGAGGTAGCTTCCTGTTTTTTACCGTCAATATTTTACTATTTTGATAACTGCAATGAAAATATAATAATTATGTAGAAGTCGTACTTCTATTATAATTACTGCATATTGATGTTACTGTTTTTTTCATGGAATTATGGAATTGAATAAATGCTGAATTGAATTGAATTGAAATGTCTATGTCATAGATCTGGCCCCCATTTCACAAAACTTGTCATCGCTGACAAATGACAGTTTGTGTAATATAAGCAAGTGAAATCCTTGCTTCTGATTTGTCGCTGGTTTATGTCATTTGTCATTAAAAAAAGGCTTTGTGAAATGGGTCCCAGTTGATGTGAAATTCTTGACAGAGTTACGTGTAAGCATGCATTCACCTTAAAATCATTTTATTCTCTGCCTCTTTTTTGAGAAATATCAGAGTGTTATAGTATTCTGAATAAGTTAATCATATGCAATTTTATGAAGTTGCCTTTAAAACGTCTCTATTGAAGACAGCAACTCACAAAATACATTATATGAGAGTACCGGTATTTGATTTGATTTGATTTATTTATTTCTGTTTGATTTTCTTTTTCTTTTGCATTTTTACAAATATGTAACAAACAAATATTGCAAATTTACACATGACAAAAGAATATATGTAGAATAAGGTAAGGCTGGGTGTAACTAATCGAGAACATCAAACAGGAGGGTTGACAAAATAAGCAAAGCTAGTATGCTAGTAGAAATTTCTATTGTCAAACTAGAAAGCTTTGAAGCAGGCCTGAAAACCCATCTTCTCAAGCAAATGTGTAATCCATGACTATTGGAGGAGCGGTTGCCATTGAATGTTTGAAACAGATAAATGGCGCCATACAAGTGCTGTGGATCATCGTATGTAAAGAGTTGATGTTCTTGGAAAATGCCATGTCTATTTACTGTGTTTTTTATTTTGTAGCTCTGATACAACTACTAAAGGATCAGGAACCGGGTGTGAGAGTCAAGGCAGCTGAAGCCATGAGCCTTCTGAGCAACTTCTAGACAACACAGGTGCTACAAAAGGTCTGATGTTCTCTATATACTGGTACATATCATACAGCATGGCCCATTTCCTTGCATGATTGCCCTTTATCTATGTATATGATAAGAGATAAGCAAACTGAGGTATCTGATATGATAATGAATGTTTAATATTAGATAGCTCTTACAGATACAAAGGTTTGATCAGTCCACAGCTCATCGACTGCGAGGATCGTAATTTGCATATTTCACTCCTGTTCAATGTTACATTGACCACCTGGTCAAATGAGTATATTTGTGCATCATACCGTATCCAAGCTACGCTGAGAGCACTAGCGCTTAACCCTTTGTTTGCATCGTCTTAACCAAGTGCATTTGACGCGTAAGGCTGGACCGGTGCTTGAGATAAAACAAGGCATAAGATCGCAATCATCCTTAATTTTATGTACAAAGTTTAATCAAGGCTATCTAATATAACAGATATTGACTGGTAGGGCATGTAATATAACATCTAACAGGTTAGCTTGGAGGCATGCATCTCTAATCACTGGAGCAGTATATATATATTGATCAATGTTTGTGTGAATTATGATGCCAAATTAAAATGCAGTGTACAAGAATAGTCCATCATGTACATGAGGCATGTTCTATGTATTATGATTACTTGTAGAAATGGAACTATGTTCATCAAACAATTTACTTTTTCAGTTGACTAGGTTGACTTTCTATATGGTATGCTAATACATTTAGTTTTGTGTATATTACAATAACAAAGATCTATTAGTATTTAATACAATGTATACATTTTAGAGGGTAGAACTCGTATGAGATCATGAAATAACAGATTTGTCTGTTTAATGGGTGATATGATCAGATTGATATTTAAAAGAAGGTATTGTCATTTTCAAGGTTTTATTACATTTTAATGTGATGTCTCACATTTTGATTAAAGTAGACTGACTTTGTAGACATGCATGCATGACATGTATTGATAACACACTTTAAGTAATTTGTAAGGATATCTGTTATAAAACTGAATTAATTTTTGTTGAAATTCTCGGAGAGAAAGCAGAAATTTAAGCCCTAAACTCCCTGCTGAGTGCATAATACTGCAATTTAACAAATAGGCTGTATGACAATTGAAATGAATGAATATCAATTTTTATTTTAGTTATCAAAATTTTCTTTTTTTGCCAATGTTCTTAAATCGATTTGATGCATTATTTGTGCAATAATTCTGTGCTGTGGACAGTTTATGATTATAGAAATGTTAAAAATTTTATAAAAAAGAGTAAAACTCACGTATTTGTTTATGTAGGAGTGTTTAGGTATAACCTACAATAAGCAGGCTAGCTATAAATATAAATTGATTTCCTTTTTTTCTTCCTAGGGTGTGTGTTTTCTCATAGCTAGTTTTTCTTGCAATATATACGTCACTGTTATCTTGCTAGCTAGTATCGTTTGCCTGAGCTACAAACCTTTTTGTTTTGTTTATATATTATATGTAAATGTATCCTTTTGTTATTTCTTACTTTTTTTTCTCTGTACATATATGTTGAAATTATCTTTATGTCTTGTTACCATAACAGCATCGTTGTTTAACCACTTTCTGTGCCATGTCATGGGCCTGTGCTGGGTTCCTCTCAGTGCATGTGTCATGCAGCACTTCACAGCTCAGCCATGGTCTGACGACAAATACATTTGAAATTAAAATTGTTACATAATGAAATATGGAGTACAGAAATATGGAGTTCAGAAATATGGAGTTCAGAACCCAAGTTTAATAGAAATCTTCTAATATGAATGATAAATTGTAAAAATTCTAGTAGCACAGAAGGGGTTGGATATTATTGTTGAAAGTTATGCTGGAATGTATAACACCATAGACATTATATTTTTTTTGTTTTTTGTTCTTCTTTATTTAATGATATTTACATAGTAAGTGCTTGTAAAGCTTTGCGTTAGTGGAAGTCGTAATGTGGTGCAATTTCATTTACATCTAAATTTCCATTATATTTAAAATTGTAAAAGATACAGAGTCATCATAGTTTTAGTTATAAACTGACAACTAGCTATTCATCTACCTAAGTTATACGATACATTTTATAAAAATGTATACCGAGGAGTTTTAGTTTTATATATTAGTGAAAGTACATATATTTTCATACTTATCATGTTTGTTTTTGGCAGGATCTTCTATAAATGTGAGATTAATTAAAGCAAATTATTCTTTAGAATATTGTTCAAAGAAGTTTTCTCTGTAGAATAACATTCCAGCTTTGTGTAGAGAATAATGTGATATTTTGTGTAAAATATAGTTATAAACTGGTATTTATGTTGTTGATTTGTTTGCATTTAAACTTATGATCTACCAAGTACTGACATGTTTGTTGTCATGTTTAAATAGATATCTTATTTTTTCTTGTTATTTTTAAATGATGACTTCAACAAACAATTTTTGTTTAAATGACACAAAAGACAGATATTTATTCAAACATGACAACATACATATCAATTTTTAGTAGATCAATGGCTTTATTTTTTTTTAGAGATATTAAGTCTTCAGGAGCAAATTATGGGTAATTGAATTTTTAACAGCAATGATTAAAGAAAAATAATAATGTTAATTAGATTCATTTTAAAACCATACATCTGTCATTAGTACTGTACGGTATAAAGATGTTACTCAAATGAGCTATGTCAATTGTGTAAAATGTGTTATAGAGGTGTACTTAATTACAATTTACTCTCAAGAAAAAAACGCTTTGTTTAATGTTTGTCCAAGTCAATTTTATATTATTGTGTATCTGTAATGAAACCTTATTTATCTTGAAGTGAAGACAAGCACCTCCACAATCTGGATATGAAATGCAGGGATTTGTAAACCTCCAAGTCTCATTAAAGAACTAGAGATTAGATATAAAGTTGCACAAATACAAAAAGTTCAACCAGCTGTCTTGTTCACATTTACATACGGTATCTGCAAGTTAACCTCAACATAGGCCTACATTATGGTATACATATGATATATTGGGCATTTCCATTTCATCATTACATCCAGGAACATTGTTAGTATCTTAAAAAAGTTTCACAGTGACATAAACGCTGATATGCTTACATCCGGCTCTCTATATTCCTCTATATCATATTGAGAAACTATGTTAACCCTCCGATTTATGGAAAACCATCAAAATATGAATTTGGTTGATGTGATCTAAACTATTTTAAGGTTCATATGTTTTATTCAACCATGATAGCTGTAAGCATTGCCTTTAAAGTGGTGATTTTTCCTTCATGATATTGACTTTGTCTTCGGGATATCAACCAGGCAGAGGCTCTTTCTTAGAGTAGTTTCCCTTTTAGAGGCATTTAGTCTATATGCCACTTTGGTCTAGATACAGTAGACTATGATATACTCCATCTTAAGAAATAGAGAGTCTGAATTTAAACAAAATTACTGAGGGCAAATGACTTTTTGAGGGTTGTTTACAAGGGTTTATTACAACAGTATTTTAATGAAAATTCTAGACCGAATGGCATTTATTTAATATAACCTTGGGATCTCATAGAATAGGCAAAGCTATGATGTGATTTGTTCTTTAATTTTCTTTTTGACTTGCAGACCTCTTATTCAAAGTACTAATTTATATTTTGTTGTACCGGTAATGCATGTACATTCTAACACCTGTAGTGTTATGAAGTCTCAATGTGGCACTTACAAGTACACATACTTTACAACAATATTTATGATATGCTTAAACTTTGTAATGGTGAAGACTTACTAAAGTTATATAGTACCACCTGTTTAGAAGGGAAGGAGCTTCAGCTATTATGGTACTTGTACTTAAGAACCTTCATGACTTTGAGTTTCAAGTAAATGTTGGAAATCATTATCATTAATATCATCTTCTTGTGGCGCAGAAAAACGATTATTTGCTATATTTGGCTAATTTTTCTCTGAATACCGGTAGGTTCCTGAAGTTGACTTTAGGTCATTATGAAGAATTGAAGAAAAAAAATGTTTGTTTCTTTCAAACTACACCACTGTTTTCAATAGGGATTTAGTGTGATTAAAGCGAGTTGAATTTGTATCAATCATTTTCTTGAGTTTACCTTGAGTTTATGATTGAGTTTATGATTGATGTCATGCATCGTCTCAGATTTATTCAATATTTTTGTATATATTCACATTTTACCTTTGTTCGAGGACAGTTTAACATTAACAATTATAACTAAAATTAAACCTTGTATTTTGTCTGCATGTAGTTCCAAGTTGTTCATCATAAATGCTCTGCAATGTTATATGTACTCAATACCATTTTGATTAAGTAATACCATAATGTATTTGGTAATAGTGAGTTTGTGTATTTAAGCTGGTTAGACTTTACAATTGTACATCCTGTGAAAGGCTTAACAAATTAATTCCTATTACTAGCAGGAAATGTGTGCAGATTGAATGGTAAAATTGGGTGATTAACTTGATTCTGAAAAATGATCAGTAGTTATAGTACCATGATTTATTTGTCCTCATCAACTTGTACTTAATTCTTTTAATGCACGTCTAACATACATGTCTTGCATCAGAAATTGCCCAAACCTTGGCCTAAAATAGGTGTGTCAAATTATCATGTGGAATGTATATGTGTAGATTGCCTGTCAAATAAAGTCCAGCTTGATAAGCACTGTTGAGTTCTTATTACTGTTTTCATTTTCATGGACTATGTTGGTTGAGGCATGTATTCAGTGAAAATGTGTTTGCTTGGTACTTCTTGTTGGTCCAAGACCCAAATCAATTCACTATGAGATATTAATATTTACAGGATTCAGATAGAACACAAGATATCCTTCCAATAAACATCTGCACAAATCAATCAACTTTGTAATATGATTTTTCAATGGTTGTGCTTTACCCCCAGATTTATCCAAAATTAGATCTAATATTTACCTCTTTGACTTTTGCCAACACTGGATATTTATTGTTAATTTCTTGCCATCTCTCTGTTCATTCCCTTTTCTCCCATTTACAGATTTGTCAATACCATATATTTTGTCCTCCCTTTGTCAGAACCTTTTCCTCTTTCCTTATCTCTCCTATTCAGACATTATTATGTTTCTTCCCACACATTGTCTTACTCTCCCTCTCTCTCTCTCTCTCTCTCTCTCTCTCTCTCTCTCTCTCTCTCTTATTCTTTGTATGTCCAACCTCAAATAGTATTGTGTTCAGGTCTGTAAATTAAGTATTGCACCATAAAATGTTAAAATTAAATAAAAATTAAAGAATAGAATTTTTAAAATAAATTATACTAATTACAAACAAAGCCCACCCCCACCCCCCAAAAAAGCTCATTATGAAAGAGATTTTACAAGAAAATTGAAAAGAACATCAAAGCTTTATTGTAAAAGGCAAGATTGCATGTACAAACAACTCTATATACATGTACAAAGTATACATAGTATACAAAATCTTTAAATAATGGACATGATAACATGCTCGGTAAAAAAAATCTTTGATAATACAAAGTGTAAATTACTGACTACCTCTAACAAGTAACTCCTTTGGGTACATATATCTACTGCATTTAGAATTTCATCAAATTTGCAACATATTTACATCTATCTAAGCTAAAGATATGCTAGAGTAAATTTACATTAACACTGTACGAGTTAACAGTATGCCAAGTAGTAACTCAAAATTTGTATTTAGCCAGTCTTAAAAAGATAATTTTCACAACTAAAAGTGTCCAATTAACTTTAAAACAATTTAGCAGGTATTTGAATGTTGTTTGTTTTTGTTTGTTAATGTAATTCACATGCAGATCCTTGCTATTTGATAATAAAATAAAATCATAAGAGTGCTTTGCATAATGTACTTTGTTTTACATTGGTCAATGCAACAGTAGTAGTATGACAGCGTAATAAACTCACTATTAAAACTCCTTTTTCAGCAAGCTTTCTTACATTAAACATAACAAGTTACAACAAAATATTATGATTCATACCAATTCTCAAACCCATACCATTTTGGGTACTAATCTAGCTTTAGAGCCTACTCCATGTTTTGTTGGAAACAAGTCATTAATGATCTAAAGTTTTGGGGGAAATGTATCATTGCAAACACAGATCTACATGTCTATGTATGACTGAATCAAATAATTTGCAATATTTTAGAAACAGCTGTAATCGCAAATCACAAAACACACAAGAGAATTGTTTTAAATGCAGGAACATGGCTCAATTAATTATATACAATAACATGTTAATATTCCTCTCTGAACGGATAATTGGCATGTACAATAAGAACTGTCTCAATCAATAATATACAATGGTAGAACTGTTTAAATAATTATCAGAAAGAACAATGCATTAATTAATCATTTGCTATTACACAACTATTTCTGTATCAATATATTACAATTATATACCTATCTTAATCAATAATTTATAATCATAGAAATCTATTTAAATTAACATTTCAGCAATTATATAACTACATCTGCAACAATAATATACATTTACAGCACTTTCCCTGAATCAATTATTTACAGTTATATAATTATATCTGGATTAATAACTTAAAATATAATATTTTTGACCCAATAATTTAAATTGATATAACTATATCTCAATTAATTACAATTCTAGAACTATTTCTGAATCAATATATTATAACATACACACTTTAATATATTAAACATTCTATACTACTGATTTGAGGTACAGGTGATTAACATATATTTTACATCATATTTACAAGATTTTCTATATAAGATTTCAATATATTAAATTCAACATTACTTTATATTTCAACTTTACCCATTTTACATTTTAACTTTGATAAAGATTTTTACTAATTACAATTTCATATGAGTTTTTAGAAGCACATGCATACTAAGAAAGAAAGAGAGAGAGAGAGAGAGAGAGAGAGAGAGAGAGAGAGAGAAAGAGAGAGAGAGAGAGAAAGAGAGAGAGAGAGAGAGAGAGAGAGAGAGAGAGAGACATAGAGTGAGAGAGAAAGAGAAACCATTTGGTATGTCTGTAAAATGAACATACAGAATAATTAAGAAAGATCACACACTAATATTGGATTGCATCACACCCTACTTTTCTCTGATTAGACAGCCCTTGAAATGCTTGGTAACTACTTGAATTGTATACATAGCTCCTATAATCTTCATGAACAATTGAAGTCCAGAAAATTAATGAACATTCTAGACATTTTAGATTGTACACACAGCAATAAGTGATAGCATTGGCCCAATCTCACCATAGCAAATACATCAAAAAGCCTTTTAAACAAGTTTAAGAGGTCTTTTTACAAATCTCTGTACATTTTCTATATCTTCTTCAGTCTTCATCAATGAAAAACTAAGCTGCTAATCATGTTTTGTATTATAACATGAATAAGATGAAATACCAATAGGATAATGCAATACAAACACCAACTCTATTTTCTTTACAAACACTAACTCTATTTTCTGAAGTTTAACTCTGATTCAACTATGGCTTCAATTGAAGAATGTCAAACTTTGACAGACTGTAGAAAATCACAACAGCCTTGTCCAGGCAAGAAATATGTCAGGCAAACTCTTCTTCAATATCCAATAGGTAGTGTAAACACTTTATGTCATAATTTCAGCAAAACATTTCTTCTAGTTATAGGATATGTGCTCACCTAGTACAGTGTAGATTATTCAACTGCAGAAAACCTGTGTGACATGTATCACCCTGTACGTTTTGGGAGCTAGAATGCATCTCGCTCACTCACATCTCTTTGGCAGTGCAGTTGATGAATGTCATGACTTTTGATATCAGGTCAAGTTTCTTATCTTTTGATGACACATGGACACCCTTCTCCTTCAACCAGGCTACAAGTGTGATGCTGTTCACCTTGGAGAGCTGTCGTATTGAAATAGAATGAACGAACGAACGAACTTTGAGGATTATTAGGTTGGAACATATCCCTGTCCTTAGTATGTCAAAATAGACGACATTCACATATTTCTGTAAACAAAGCTTTATTTTAATGTTTTCTTTCCTTTCTTTCCTATTATTTTACTACAGCTAATACATAATCAAATGTTTTATTCACTTTTGTCGTACTTGTCATTTCTTTTTTTTTCTTTTGGCAAATAAATGCAAGCAACAAAAACAACCCTCAAAAAGTAATTTGCCCAGTAGGCACTCCATAATATATAATTTGCATATGTTATTTAACTAGCTGCACTCAATGAATCAAAGGTTTACTGCCATCACATTATGATCTCTAGTTTCCATGACCTTACCTGATCATTTTGGGCCATCAGTTGAACATCAATGTTATCTTGAACCTTGGGTTTGGAGCGAGGCTTTGATTTCTTGGCTTCTCCAGCGTCGTCACCATCCTACCATTTCAAAAATGTAAACAAAGAAAAAGAGACATGTTCAGAATATTTAGAGTTCATCTTCCCATTCCAGGAGCATATAGGACTAATTTCCCCAATGCTATGTTATATCAACAATATTAATTTGACAAAGACACAAACAGAACTGGTTTTTGTGCACATTCAAAACTTGATCAACTTCATTTTCAGAATCTCCATCCCCCCCCCCCCCACCCGCCCTTCATTGTGGCCTCAGAGCTACATTCACATTACCTTCTGTAATAGATTATGGGAATGACTTCAGACATTAAATGTTGTCAAAATTGGATGTATTATATATTGTTATCACCCTTTTTTATTATCATACATGCGATCATACATATATCATACATGGAGAGGGCCAGTTTGATGGGTTATTCTTTTGGAAGCAGAAAAGTAAGAGATGCTTTACTACCTTAGCTTTTCTCTTTTTGTCATGGTTGATTGAGCTGGTGGTAACAGGCGCCAGGAGAGGATGACTGGGTTTGGACACTGTTTTGAATGAAGACACCTTACTGGGTCCAAAATGAAGTGCCTGTCTTGCGGCCGGTTGATGATGGGTGGCACTGGAAGATGGAGAAGGGGAACACTGCTGCTGCAGAAGCATTGCAGAGTGTGGTAGATGATGGTGAGGATGTTGTTTCAGTGTTGGCTGGGTTGGTGGGATGATATCCTCACAAGCTATCAGATCAATGGTTGATGGGTGGGTTGCGGGCTTGTGGGTGGGTGTGGTAGTAGCTCTGGACATGACTGTTGATGGCATGACTGATCTTGGTTTGTGGGGGGTGAATGAAGGTTTGATCTTTGGTACCTGGGGTGTTTGGTTTCCACTGGCAGCCGATGGGATTGAACGAGATGGTTTGGGGTTAAAGATAGGCACAAAGGGTCTTGGTTGTGGAGGAGGAGGCTGCTGAGACTCTCTACATACTTCCTTTCTTAGGAAGCCTCCACCATTCCCTGGTTGGAGCATTCCATTGCTTTCTGGGAGATTCTGCATCTGCTGTAGTGGAGGTGGTGTTAAACTACTGGCATCTCCTGCAGAACCAACATACCTGCCTCCTTCCTTCCGATAAGCTGGCATACACGCATGCTGAGGGGAATTATTGTTGATATCCTGCTCTGAATAGTGCTGAAGCTGATCAGCAGCCAAAGAGAATATAGTGTGGTTTAGATTTCTGGCTGACTTTGGAGCAGACTGTGGTAACTCCTTCCTCCCAGTAGCAACTGTTCCTGTAATTGGTGTCAAATGATGACCCACGGCATATACTCCGGTGTTAGCTGGTGATGGGTAAGGATGTGCTCCGGTGTTAGCTGGTGATGCGTAAGGATGTGCTCCGGTGTTAGCTGGTGTTGCGTAAGGATGTGCTCCGGTGTTAGCTGGTGATGCGTAAGGATGTGCTCCGGTGTTTGCTGGTGATTGGTAAGGATGTGCTCCAGTGTTTGCTGGTGATACATAAGGATGTGGAGGAGTACAGAACAAACCTTTCTGACCAGGAGAACCCATTGGCATGGACAGATTGCTTTTAGCAGCATACGGTGACTGCCTAGGACTTTGAAGATCATGATGACGTCGTGAAGGAGTCACCTTGGTGTTGCTCCCATACGGCAATGGACAATGCAGACTAGACCCTTGCTGAGGGTTTTGCTGACCATTCTTAGACAAGGAGCCATCATGCGGGTACCCAAACTGACTGGGTGGGAGGGCTGGAGTGACAGGAGACACATTCTGAGGGGTCTTGATGATATAACCTGTGGCAGACTTGATGTATGCTGGATGTCCAGTCAGTGGTCTGTAAGGAGATATCTGTGGCTGGGTGCTGTGCTGTTGGCTGCGGCTCTCACTGACCGGTACTAGAGCTCGAGCAGGGATTCTCTGTGGCACAGTAGATTTCCTATTGATCAGAGTCATACTTGAATGGCCCTCAGATTCAATCTGTTAAAGAAGAGAAATTAACACCGATTGGTTCCATTACAGCCTTAGCCATCTCATGTGCTTTAAAAAGGTAATCTATATATAGGACAAAAATCTCAAAGAATTAAATAGAACTTAAATGATCAAGGCTACAAATAAATGACAATGACATAGGAAAAGCATTCAGGTGAAGAAAAAAATAGCTGCATAATAAGCATAGACAGACAAGGAAACAAATCTAAAAGCCCTTCACCGCATTCATATAACACAACCATGTGTGTGCATATGATTTGTGATTTTCAGATAATGTGATTTCCAGCATTTTCTGTTAGTTTTGTTTCAAAAATTGCCGATCCAAACACCCCATCTACATTATGATAATCAATACACAATTCCACCAGAACGGAAGTAATCTAGTAGATCTTAGCTACTTACATATCCATTGGCTGAGTTCATGGTGACTACTGTGTACTGTGGCTTCCTTGTGACTTCTAGAGGGGTGTGGCACATGTGTGGCATCTTCTTCTTAATATCTGTCAGGAATGCCTGCAGGACTGGGGTGGAATCCACTCTAGGTACCGGTCTTAGTTCAATCTTCCTGATGCAGAATTCTGGGTAACTGAAAATGATTCTTGGTGAAGGACTAAAACATTAATACTCTAAAATCTTGCTCTTAAATAAAAAGATTTTCTCAACATGATAATGATCTCTTATGTAACTTTAAACAAAATGGAGGTTAATGTGGAATTAATGTAGTATGTATATATACAGTACCCTATAAAATGGAAACTGATCACAATTTTTCTTTTTTGAAGTCTGATACTGACACCTTCGAATTGCATAGGACCATATTACAGCAAATATGTTCATGCAAACAGACGTATGTGTTGCCCAAAGCACAAAAACATCCATAGAAATTCCCCTGTCTACTTTTCAAACTTTAATTGCTTGAATGGACTTTTTTTATTTCTATTAATCATGAAGGATACGTGAACATGGTGTGTGGTATCGCAGGGAAGAAGATGTTGATGTACACTATCCCTTCTCCACTCTCTGGTAATCTGTAGCCATACTGTCAAGTATATAATAATAATACAAATAACAAAGTTAAGCTTTTGCAGAGTGATTGTCTTATTTTATTTATGCATTTTTCAACATTATAAAACGTAATATGTAAGTTACATATACAACAAAAGAGAAATATATATATATAATCATATCATAATATAAATCAATTAAAACTTATACCTTTAAAAATAAAACATAGTTGACAATGCATTTCAAAATTGAGCAATGCGAGCTTGAATTCGATGCCGGCCTCTGATAATTAGTATGAACAATGTATTTCATTTTAATGTAAGATTTGGTGAGAATGAAAAGAAAATGAACTATTTGAATAGAATGTAAAAACCTTTAAAATTATCTTTATTTTCTTTATGGAAGCTTCCATACCACAATGCATACCTTAAAGACAATGGAGATAAACAGTGTAGAACATAAAAAATCTCTTAATCCTATAACAATTATTATATTGCCAAATTGAATGGGTTTCACTTACATTATTTTTCCAGTACTTCTTCAGATCACCATAGGTTTTGTAAGGACTGGAAGATGGGATATGATGCGTCAGACTCACAACTTTTCCTTTCTTCATACTGTAAAATGAAGTAAAAATCAATCAGTAGAGTCTACAACAGTTCTTGATAATAATAAGTAGAGTAGACTGAGTTTGCCACACACACCTTACAACTATACATGTTATTATTAATTTTTAAAAAGATATATCAGATTTATATGAATTAAAGAGATTTTTTTTAATGGTAGAATTATTGTAATTACAAGTAGTTTTTAATTCTTAGTAAGTTAAGAATCTGAATAATAAATGATTCAACTCAAAGGGGAGAGTCTCATTTTCAATTTCCAAGTCATTTCCAATGGCTCTGAGAACAAATCTTGGTTTTATTTCACAATCTATGAGGCTTGGGCATATATCTGGCTGTCTACATTAGATGTGAATATACTGAATTTAAAAAATATCTCTCCCAACAAAATATAGGTTAAGTCCTATCAAGTAAATGTTTAATATGATGCACTTTTTACAAATGTGGAACCTATGCTTACATTTGGGTGGCCCAACATAGTAAAAACTTATTTTGTGAAAGGTGATTTTAATTTTTTTCAAAAGTGTGCTGGAGAAGGATCAGAGCAATTCTATTTAAAATACTTAGATATTAAAAAAGAAAGTTGATAGAAAACTTGCATTTGTAAATTTCAAATCCATAATTATAAACACATTTTTAATAGTATGTGTGCTAAATATTGATTATTACAAAACAAAATACTTACCTTGGTAGCACATAGCACCACTTGTCATCTACAGAGTATTCTGAGATGATGTAGTTGATATCCACCAGAAAGTGATTAATGATAGGAGGTAAAACACCAAAATCCTGCAACTGTTCAGAGGAATATATGGGGAGGGGGGGGGGGGGATAAGAAAAAGGATTTATAGCAATTTACTTTTTATTTGTCATTCTTTATACTATCATTCTTAGTTTATTAGGTGCATTGGTCTAAAGATTCTAAACATCATTCTAGGATAGCCTCCAAAGTCCTATGATGCAAGGATGAATGCCGACCTACATGTAGATATGTAGATATCGAACATCTCTCATAAATAAAATATATGTGCAGGGTTGATATGCCACCAGAATAACCCCCTCTCCTCTCCGCCTGAAAAAAAAAGAGAAACTAAGATGTCATTTTTTTTTAGCTGTATAAAAGACATCTTTGTATTGTTCTACTTTTTGACCATTTATATTCTTAGAAAAAAACAGAACCATTCATAAAGTATAATTTTTGTAATGTTCTACTAAATAAACTGATCAAAATTTTGTTTTGATACAAAATAATTTTTGTTTAATGTTAATTCTGGAAGGTAACCCAAAAAATAGTTTCATATCTTCATAAGATGTACCTACACTTAGATGAAAATAAATTGTATTTTGAAAGATTTACATGTATATCAAGACTTACTGTGCAATGTGGCATCTTGACAGTTAAAGGCTTGACAGCAAGGCATATTTCACCATCTGTCACATTTGTTTCAAGGTCTGTTAAGAAAACAGAAATGCAAAACTTTATGTATCTGGATGAAAGTACATTCTGAAATATATGCCTTTAGCAAGATTCATATGAATTAGACGATTAGTATCTAATTTTGCCATCGGTCTGCCTCAGTATGATTTCCTGGCATTTATGGAACTTCACAATAATTGATTTTTTTTTTTTTTTAATCTACACCACACACATCTGTAGTCAATGAAAAAAAGAAAAGAAAAACCCTATCCATTTTTAAAAGAATCACTTCCATGACAGCTTTGTGTCATCTAAATAAATTGTGGATATGTCATAGAATTAATTCCTTAAGAATCAAACAATTCTATCCAATATTGACTATTTATCAGGCATAATTATCAAACATGAGGGCCTTGAAAGTTTAGCACATTCACATGATGAATCTCCAGTCGAAGAACAAAACAGTATTCTGCTCATATTGATGTACCTCAAAAGTTTTGTCTCTTCACCATCATGTTTTATCCTAGATTGAGAAATCATTATTACTTACTGATAGCACCAAGGATTCCAGTACTTGTGATGAAGTCCCTGCCCTGGATGTAATATTCTCCAACTTTGTTCCACAAAGGAGCTAGCTTTGCCTTCAACGTGTATGTAAAGCAGGCTTGAAACACTGCTGGAATTACCCGAATGGGTTTCCCAACCTGGAGTAAATTGAATAAGTCAATAATTCAGCAATGATCATTCCAAAGTCTAGTATAAACATGATTAGCACTTTAAGAATAAGTCCTTTACAATAATGTTTCATTGCGTATTGCAAATGCCTAGTAAGAGTAAAATCATTGGGAAGCCATTAGAGAAAACTCTGAAAGAAATGTGGAAAACAGTTTTTTATAACAATTTTTTGGATTTCACCTCTTTGTATTAACTTTAAAGATTTGTTCTAATCAGAAGAGGCTTGTTAGAATGTAGGATATACTTTTTTTTTCTTCTTTCAGTATAGTTCTGTATAATTACATAAATGTTCATTTGCATTTGTTTCTTCCATGTTTCAAAGTTTATAATAATATTTACATCAGTTTTTAAAGTTTTTAATTACCTGTAAGCTCATCTTCTGACATCTCTCTTGAAGCTTGCCCGACTGCCAAAACTGAGAAGTGATGATCACATAAATATTGCCTTCTTCTTGGAGAGATGGTGAGGCCAAGACATTGGATTCAGTGAATATCAGTTCTCTGTAAAAATGATTATCAAGTTGTTAGTATAATTTAAGCAGAAGAATTGATTTATTAAGGTAATATGTATCTCTCTTACCAAACAACTCTTCCATTCTCACCTCAATTAGGATTAATCAGTGGTCTCTAGACTAGTACTAGTAGACCTACTACTAGGTATAGCTACCCTTTATCTAAACCATTTGCTATTTGCGAAATATGCGTCAAAGCTATCTTATTCATAAATTATAAAACACTTTTTTCTCTATAAAAACAAAATTCCTGGTTAAGATTAGAATATGGCTACCCAAACTTTTATTTATTTATAATCAATCAAAGTCATGTTTCTATATTTCTTTACAAAAATTGTCTAGATTTAGACCTAGTCTAGGCCTAATGAACAAAGTTTTGCTTTTATTGTTTGATCATGATGTGATAGAATAACAGATTTGACAAAGATTTATAATATTAATGATACATCGCATAGCATTATGATATTGATATCTTGACTTAAATCTCATTAAATGAAACTTCCTTGTATCAATATAAGCACATGTTAAAAACTTCTGGAACAGCTTTGCTTGACCAGGTAAACAGTAAAAATGGTCATCAACTAAATACAGGAAAATTTGGTAAATTAAACTTTCTTCAACAAAATTTAGTGAAAACAGAATTTGCATTAACCTGCACTTCAGAACATTAGACTGGCCACATTTCTTTGTATCCTGTGAACTAGATCTAGATGGATTATGGATGCCTGATGAAGAGCCTGGTCCAAAGTTATATGCAGATGGTGCATTATTTTCGAGCCGACAAACAACTGAGCAAAGAAGACTGAAGTCTGGAACTTTTGCAAAGAAGATCGAGGAACCTCCAGCTGTGTTGTGCACCGGCATTTTTCAATTTCGATCTCTCAATGCTTTTTGTGTTTCTATACCAGTCAACTATACAGTTTGTATGCAGCTTGCCTCATCACTCTAACATTAGTCTCTTTAACCTTATTTCACAAAATCAACATGTTCTGTCCGTTCTGCTTGCTCTTCTATCATCTATCTTGTAATTTGTATAACAGTAACAGAGTCTAGTCTTCTGCATTGACTTTTTCGTACCGCGCCACATTTGAATTGATGGAGTCAAGTCGAAGTCCGGATATCCGATCTGGGAACGACACCGATCGTATCGCCTAACCCGAATATCGACGTGATGAAGATCGGATTGAAGTCGTAACATGTTTCTATCATTTTAGAGCAAAGGTGATACAATTTCACTATGAATATTCTACCGAAGAAAAGGTGAGATTATGCCTTATCATCTATGTCATATGCTTAAGCTTAATACTTCGTTTAAATACGTTAACAATACAATTATTGTGAGCGCAATTGTTTTATGTAGTCCCATGTGTGTGCAATGGTGTGGTCTAGATTGTTTGTTGTCATTTACGAATAACGTTCCTCAAAATCTTAATGTTTTTCTTTGTGCACGTCACCTACTTTGGCTGTGCACAGCTTGTTTCTCTACTATCTTTTAACGTCAGCCTTACTACAGAATTAGTAACATATCTACATTTAGGCCTAGCTAGCATATGTGGCAAGTTTTCTGTTTATTCTGAGAGAGAAAAAAATGCTGCTGCTTGATGCATGATGTTCGATTGAGGGCATGGAATTCTTGTGGAAATATTTCCAATGACGGTAAAGACTAGAGTGACTGTTAGTGTTACCGTTAGAGTTTAGACTAGATTTTTTTTTCTTCTCTCCTCTTCTTCTTCATGTATTACTCGCTATAAAAAAGCGAAACAAATGGGCTCAAATAATCATGTGCGCGTGCGGTGCAAGGTGGTTGCATATATATGGGACCCTCTCTCCTTAGTCTTGACTTAACACAAAGTCTTTTGACACTTGACTGCATCCTGTTAACTTGCACACCAGCAACGCACAGCAGTTAATACTAATGCATGGGTACAAGTAATAAGCGCGGTATAAATTAAGTAATAATAATAATAATAATAATAATAATAGTGATAGACTATTTCCAGAATATATTATTCAATCATGCCCATATCATATGTATTCTTGAATTTTGTTTCCCTTTTGTAATAAAATTTGATTATACTTGAAGCTTTTGTAGAAATCGTGGATCAAAAATGTCACTTTCCTTAATTCAAAGACTGTAAAATGTGATTGAAATTGAATTGTACAGTTATTTTTGTCAACCTTTTATTTAGTCACAGCATCCTTTTACAAATTTAAAAGTTTCTTGTTGCATTAAGGCAACAGCACAATCCCAATGAAATTCAATATAGAAGATTTGTGTTCCATCACTCATCAACAAATGCCCCTTACCTGAACATTTAGTACAAGTACATGTATCTGGTTGGTAATAAAATGACACTCTAGCTAGTACCCTGGTAAAATTTATTTTGGTTTAAAAATGTACTAGATACGATTAAATAAGGGCAACTTGCTGCCCAAATATTTTGTCATATTCGGGCAAAGAGCTGCCCAAATATTGTCATATGATATCATCATATGGGAGTATTCATGCGACTGTATAAACTCATCCCAATTTGGGAGAAGGTGAAGCAAGTAAGGAAAAATAACTTCCATTATCTGTAAAATGCTGTTTCTTCTTTAAAAACCCTTTAAGTGATATATAATTGTGTATCTTGTGGTTTCAGTTACTATTTTTTCATGAAGTTGATGTTATTCCAGTTATTCCAGATTATAATTTAAACTTAACTGAATTCTCTTGCGGCACCCCTAACGATGCTTTGCTGCACCCTGGTTGAGAAAAACTGAAATAGCGGAACTTACAACTACAAGCAATGCTCATTATTTAATAAGTGGCAACTAAGAGAAAAGTGGACCTACATCCACAAGGTTTCAGAGTAGAGAATAATTTTGTCTTTCACTTTTATCAGGTCTTTGTATTAACTGTTGTCATATTCACCCTCCTTTTTTTTTTAATAGTTGGCATGTTCGAACTCGAGATAATATTGCCAAAGTCAAGAGGGATGAAGCTCAAGCCGCAGAGGAAGAGAAAGAGAAAGAAGGGAGGATTGCTCTGGCTGTAAGTGCAGTTATAATATATCTGAACTTTTAAGGTTACAAAGTATGTAACCATATTTCATCTGTATGGAGCCACAAGGATGTTTACTCATATACTTAAACACAGAGTTAACACCCTTCTGGCTCTGAACAGATGATTTGTTTCTTGGCATCAAACTGTTTCTTTAAAAAAAAACGTCATGATGTCGGAAAAAATAGGAATGATTATTTTTTAAAGAATAGATGTTTGGGCAATCTGAAAAGGAGTTCTTCACACATTAGCCCTGTAAAAATATATAAATAGAAGTTCCGTCTAAACTTAAGGTATTTGAATGTGGACCTCTCGCAATATTGTAGAAACTAGTCACTAGGATATCTAAAAGAACATGTACATAAAAATTGATGAGCTGGCTAACTAATGCTACGTCTGCATGGTTCTTTATTTTTTTCACACAGCAAAATTATCTCTTTAGGAGAACTGCATTTTGAGACATATTTGGATTGGAAGGAACCAGGATCAAAGGATTTTTTTTTTTTAATTGGATTTTTAGATTTAGCAGGAATTCTTATTTTGCTTATTCTAGGAATTGTGATGAGTCATAAAGATGCATTCGCAAATAAATACATTTACATTTTACTTATAGTGTATAGAATCTTGGAAAATTGAATTTGCTGTATTTGCTGAATATTTTATTGATATATATATGGATTTGAATGATCCTTTACAGGAGCAAGAAGCACGTACTGAAAAGCTTAGGATAAAAGCCCGAAACAAGAGTTTTGGCAACGCCATCTATGGATATGAAGAGGAAGAGATTGGACCACAGCCAATGCCTGATGTGGCACCTACAGGAGTATCCCCTTCTCAACCCCTGCCCAGAACTCACATCAACTTCTTCTCAGAAATAGAGGCAGGGGTAAGATCATATCCTCTTGACTTCAACTGATGTTGTGCAGTTTGTGTGCAGGCTTTTATTTGTAAGAATATATATGAATAAAGCACATTCAAAGAAAAGTAGGTTTAATGTACTGTTTGATAGTGGCAGCAAATGCAAATTTACAAGACTTCGGAAATAATTTTATTTTTTGTGTGTATTGGGACAATTAAAGATACAGACTATACATGTCCCCATGGAGTAATAGCTGCATGATTTCTACCACTTAAAGATATTTCATATTACAGATTTTCCCTTGTCTAGCTTTATTTTGAACACATGTAAATAACATTCATAATCTTTGAGAGGTGTGTTTGTTCTCAAATAACAAACTATGTTCACATATATAAACAAGATTTAGGATTAAAGAGAACACATATCAGTAATCAGTTATGATCACAAACTATGAATGTATTATACTATTACTATTGCAGCTTTACTTTAAGTCCTCTATTCTCTTAATGTAAACATTTTAAAAATTTGATCAGAGCTGTGTATTCAGCATATAACTGCATCTATTTAGAGACCTCCATTTCTCGTATCCTGACAGAGCAACACAAATACCGGTAACAAGGACCATGAGGCTGAGAAGAAGCAGGAACAAGATGCCTATGAGAAGAAGATTGGGCTACTGGTAGGTCTTGGACAAAGTGCCATTGAAACACAACCAGTCAAACCTTGGTATCAGCAAAACAGAGAAGAAAAGGACAAAAAAAGCGTGGATGCAACAAGTACAGAGTGAGTTCAATTATTTAAGTTCTCCATTTTTCTATTTCATTATGTACTCATTCTTGTGAAGCAGTGGTCCCTTGATCTGGGAGTTATAGTTCCCATGGTGTTGCTTAGGAGTAAAGAATTGTTTTTTAATGAAATAAACCAAATCCAATTTCTGTGTGCATAACGGGAGTAACAGTACTGATCAAGGATTGATATTTAGGGGGCTCACAACAGTGACAAGGAATGGCACCTAAAAGGTAATCAACCCTTTATAAAAGGTTGTAAATGCTGATACAAATGTCATTTAAATATCACCTGTGGGTTATGTTATAGTCAGCTAATCTGAGATTTTTCATGTACTAAAATTAGTTAATATTATAAAGTGTTAGTGATAACATGATATAATGTTGAAATTAAGAGGATATTTATCAAGCAATAAACGTATCGTACAATATGAAACAGAGATCTTCGGCTCTACACAAACTTTTTAAGCAACACACTCATTTTCAAGTCACATTTATATAATTTTTACAGAAAAGAGATAAAAGTATTAAGTGTATTCCTGATGACATGGTAAATAAGTAAAATGTTTTTGTCTTTGATATTGAAAGATTTAATTTTTATTATTTTTTAACTATAACCTGTGCTAATACTTCTTTTAACATTTATTTTTAATTTTCAATTTGCAGCACACATGAAATGAAGAGAAAAGCATCAATGGATCCAATGAATGCCATGTTGAGGTACCTTGGGAAGAAACCAAAGAGTGTGACTGAGACAAAGACTACCATTCAACAAAATTCTTCCAAAGAGAAGGAATCTCTACCAAAAGGGGTATGAATTGAAGGGATTTTATTTAACTTCACATGTATTGCTTTCACCCTCAGTATCCAGTTTCTATATCACATATCTTATCTTTTTCTTATTTTGTGTTTTTGTTTGCAATCTAAGATTCATTGATATGAACCTTTGTCTGTGTTACCTTACTAATTTTGCTCTTTTTGTCTGCCTCTCTCTCTCTCTCTCTCTCTCTCTCTCTCTCTCTCCTTCTGTATGACCAACAGTTTCGTAGTAATGTCCATTACTCATTGCCTCCCCTTTCTCTCTCTCTCTTTCTCTCTTTCTCTTTATCTCTCGCTCTTGTCTGTCTTTTGATCTCTTGCTTACTCCTCACTTCTCTACCATTCTCATGTAACTTTCTTTTTTTTTTTTTACTTGTATTCTGAGCAATACACTTCGAGTACTTACAATTCCTATAAAATCTTGATAAGTTTATGTCCAGTGGTTGATGATTGCCAAAAATTCATATATTTTTTTAACATTTGAAATAAACAATTGCTTTGTTTGAAAAGATAATCCTTATATTTTATTGTTTTGCAATAGGTTTCTTTTGTATTGATGTGTCAATATATGGGAAAATTCTGCTTGCTTATTAGAATATATCATGTGATATGCATCAGTAAATATCATCACACTTAAAGCCATTTTACAGCAAACCATTTCTTCTCCCATACACAGGGTCTGCCTGGCACAACAAGTCTAATGAAGATGTTCAGCAAGTACAAGAATAAATCTAAAGAGGAAGAAAATGGAAAGGAAACTACAAGTCACAAAAAACACAAAGAAAAGAAGAGAAAGAAAAATCACAGGCTAAAGGAAAGCAGAAGAGACTCAAAAAAGCATAGCCATAAGAAATCGAGTAGCAAACACAGAAAACATTCAAGACATCACAGTGATAGTACTAGTTCAGAGAGTGAGGACACAAGGCGAGAGGCTAGATTGTCAAGAAGACGTAAGAAATCTCAACAAAGAGATAGAAAACACAAGCGCAAATCAAGCAGGAGTGACAGCAATAGTGATAGTCAGAGCTCCTCTAGTAATGGAAGCGAAGAGACGAACAACCAGAAATTGCAGGTGTCTGCTAAACCTACTCCCACGATTGAACAGTTAAGAGCAGAGAGGGTGAGGAGAGAGGCAGCAGAGAGGACTAAGACCGAAAGATTTTTGGCTGGAAAGCCACTGGTAGAACAGCCTGCTCCTGTGTTGGTGATAACGGATAAATTGGATGGAAAATATAACTCACAGTTCAATCCACATCTAGCAAGAAAGCGTCAGCCAAAAGAACCTCTTTTTTAGACGACATTATTTATTTTTCTTCTATTCATTCTTTCTCCGTACAATAAGGCCTAAAAAAAAAGATGTTGTATTGCCCTTTGCGACCGACCCAAAAATCTAGAAATCAACAGTTGGCTGTTTTTTTATTTTTTATTTTTTTTAATCATTTTTTAGAAGAATAAAAAAATAAATTAAAGCATTCAAAATTGAGAAATATCAGCCAAAAGAGGGAGTAAAAAAAAAAAGATTTCCGACCAACCGACCTATGTTTTGGAACCTCAAGGGCAGTACAACATCTTATTTTTTTTAGGCCTAATGGTAATACATGAATGCATTTTCTGTGAAAAATCAAAGATTTACTAAATATTTTCCCAATCAGAGATAATATTTCATTTAATTAGCTAAGTTGAAAAATATATATCAGGATTTTCCTATTTGAATAAATTGTTCTCCTTTGAAAATTCTGATTTATATTTTACAGGATCTCTTACCAAAATGAAGAGAACCATATCTGGAAATTCCACTCGATTGCATGGTTGAAAATAATACCATTCAGGAGATATTAATACTGGATACAGTACGTCTTAAGAAAATCAACACTAAACCTGCGATTCCTCAATAATGCAGACAATCCAGAGTAAAGTTTTATTGGTTGTATTCTATCTTCAAAAGTGTATCCAAACAGTTGACAATAGTGCAAATCTTATTTTTACCCCTCTACCTTCTCCAATATTATGCATTGCCTTAAACGTTCATGTTTCTCTACCTCTCACTCTATCTCTCCTTCACTCTATCACCAGGGCTCTGCACTAACTTTTTTCATAGTTGGTCTGGATTTAAAGTTTTAGAGTCTGAACGTTTGAAACCCCATTCAGTAAATTTTGTAAAATTTGTACTTCTTGAGGGTTTCGACTCAATATGTGGACATCGTTGAATGCCAGGCACCCGTTAGTGTTGAGCCCTGGTTTAACTAATCGAACAATACATGAATTGAAATATGCGATCATATTGGAGTGTACAACCTTTATAAGTGTACATTTGTTTATTATAGCTCTTTTATATTTATACCCATTATGAAAACCAGAAAATAAATGGTAATTTGTTTTAAAGTAAACTTGCAATCTTTTCAGCATGTTTTATTTGTTACATGAGTTTATTTTGTTTGTACTCTATTCTAGATATTTCTTTCATGAGACTGACTAAGAGAACAAAATAGGTGGATAGGCACTGTAAATAATCAAATAGAAAATTATATGTGAAGAGATATGTGAACTGGCGCACAAAATAAAAATGATTAGCATTCTGTAAAGTATATCAGAGTTATTGAAAAATTGTTTTTAATTTACAAATTACAAAATACAATTACAGTTCATTTTGTACATACATACATATATAAACATAATATGTCTCCAATAAGAAATTTTCAGCATAATTGATTTATAAGAAAACTTTTGATGGGAATGTCCAAAAATGGCTTTGATTAGTTATGAAGGATTTTCTTACAAGTTAAAACAGGAAGATAAGAATTTCTGGAATTTCAAACATGTGATTTACCTGATATTCAAATAATAGTCACGATTAGTTTTGAAATGGCATGCTACAAACCCTCTCAAAACAATTAGTCTGCTCTGTTAATTAATTCCCAATTTGATACAATTAAACTGTCATTTAAGAAGTAATTTGCAGGAGACAAGAAGGTCCTATGGAAATGCAGACAACATAAACATAGACCTTCCTTAATAAAAAGCATCATGTATTATCTTCTGTAGAATGTACAAAAGGATTTTCACACTGATTGATTACATGATTTATTCAAATGCATTGTCAAACAAAACAGATACTAAACAACATTTGATGTACCGGTATTACAAGTAAAATTAAAGTAGATGGTATAGTCAACTTTACCTTTCCAGTTAACAGTACAAAGAAGGAAGATCAATAGCATGCCCTATAATTAAGATGTGTATTCGAGTCTACGCCACACTCTGAGGACAATAATAATAATAATAGCTAGTTCTTATATAGCGCTATTCAGGACCGAAGGCCCTCTCAAAGTGCTTTACAGATATGTATCGATACATCCTTTTCAAATAAGTCCCCAGGGACTATTTAATTCTGGTGCATAACTGTAAACATTTTCTATCAGTATGGTATTGCAAAAATGTTTACAGATGAACTACAACATTGGTCAAAGTCATGCTTTGTTTTCACTTTTTCCCCTTTTGCATCACTCATCTATACCTTCTAATATCATAGCATTAATAACCATGCTCCAGGTCTTTAAGTAGCCTTCAACCAACCCACAAACTTCAGTCTGACAAAAAGGCCTTGTCATTTATACAGTGTAGGCCTTCTCTAATTTAAGTTAAAACATTTATGAATGTATTTTATAACCTTGAAATTTATCCCTGTGACTTGAAAATCTAAATATGTGAAAGTACTTGTCCCAAAGTTATTCAGACATGAGCAAAATTATTTAAACACAGTATTATCGTTTTGGGGCAAAATAAATGTCCACACTGAGGGCACCACATATCTAATGCACAGAGGTTCTTATACTCTTTTCACACTGGTTTTGCTTAACCCCGTACTTTGCTTAGCCCCGTACTATCCTTAACCCCGGACTATTTTTTTTGGCTTTTCACACACGCTGTTTTTAGTCCCGTACTAGCGCCTATTCCAGAATAAGAAAATTCCCGCTGTTCTCACTGCATTTCGTTAACCCCGGATATCGTGTATGTTATGATTGGACATACTTCGCATCTGGCCAGCTGCGATACGCTCCATTGCGTAGTACCGGACTATTTCTCGTTTCTGTTCTCATTTATTTGCTTAGCACCGCAATTGCGGGGTTAGCAGGAGTTAGCACCACAATTGCAGAGTTAGCCCTGCTATTTTGCAGGGTTAGTTAACCCCGTACTATAGGTGGGGTTAGCCAACTTTAGCCCACTTTGGTAAAAACCAGTCTGAACAGAAAGTGGAATAGGCTTAACCCCGTACTATAGGTGGGGCTAAGACCCCCCCTTAACCCCACCTATAGCACGGGGTTAAGCAAAATATTGCCAGTGTGAAAACAGTATTAGAAGTATCCAAAACTGTTGGAGAGCTAGGAACTATCCTCGCACAAGTAAGAAAATGTGAACATGATAGAAGATTTAACTGTTTATTTTGAAACCCATGTGACTTGAACCAACACTGATCTACATTCAAGAAATTCTTACTATACACTTAAGTAATCCTGAAAGATCATAATCCAAATGATGAAGGGGTTTTCCTCCTCGGTGTTGAAGAGGTAGATTCTTCTTTCCTTCCGGGTGTTGCAATTTTCATACTGCAAGAAAGTAAAATAAATTTTATAATAAGATTAATATTGACAGGAATCATCATTCACATTAATATTCTAACTACATGTTTTCTTGCATTAACACATTCTAGATTTAATTGTTTTACATGTCTGATGTGTAAAATTATATGGTTTCTGAAAATCCTCAATCTTCTCATCACATTTTATTTTCTGTACATGGATTTCATTTTAAAGACAGATGTTTTTCAATTAATCAATGGGACAAGTCTTGAGATTATTTGTACATTTAGGTTTCAAATCTAATGGTATATAATGAATCAAGAACATAAATGGACATATCAAAAGCATCTATGCATGTCCATTCTATAGTAGGGCTAGTACATTTATACTATCATCAGGTGGGTTAAAATCTTTTGTTATGACCAAGACTTTAGGATGCTAACAATACTTACCTTCTAGATGATTTAATTCTCTCAAGAAGTTTGTCTTCTTTCCTTGCCCTAAGTTCTTCTGTTGCTAGGGCCATCTCTTCCTCCATGTTGGGTAAGTCTGCCTTGGCTGCCTGACGTCCTTGCTAAATATTTCAAAGGGAAAAAAAATGTGTTTCTCATTAAATTAAACAGGCTAATGCCATGCAGTATTCATACACTCGACCTCACCATTGAAGTAATAATGCAAGGTTTTTCTAGTTATCAAATTATTTGAATTGAATTGAATTGGAATTAATTAACAACATAAGACAATGTTACAAATGCATTTTCAAGTGGGTAACAAAGTAACAATTGATGTCGTATACATATCCATACATGAGTTACAAAGAAAAGAAAATATCCATAGTTGAACCATTATTATGTACAAAATTAATCATATTCCATGTCATATCAAACCTGTGAATTAGCTATAACTTAATAATACATAGAGATTTGGTTGAATTCCTTAAAGATACATAAAAGTGTGGCTGGAATCGAAATTCACAGAATTCCAATAGTGTATATTAAGAGATTCAAATAAAGGATATTTTTAACTTAAAAACTTGAAATGTTGTTAAAGGGAGAACAAAAGTTAGCATGAGTGCTATTCCGGATTGGTTCTGATCAATCATGATTGGTATAGTGGTTCATTCATTTGACTTCCAACTGAAAGGTTGAGAATTTGATTCCCACCCTGACACCACTGTCCTTTGGCAATACATTAATGTTGATTGGATTAAAGAAACATACCAGTCTTTTATTTAAACATATTTGTGGCTTAATTAAAAAAATAATATATTAAAAAAAACATACCTGTCTTGTTTTGCCTTTTTCCTTGATGCTGTAGAACATAGGTCCCAGCTCAGCCAACCACTCCCCCTCCACTGCTGTCACACACTGCATGTATTCCTGGAAGGAAGCAAACACAGAGATAAATCATAATTCTACATGCTTTCATTATACACAGGTTGACATGTGCTATGGTACATCAACCAATTAACCAGCCATCATGGCATATTGGCTACACATTCACACAGTTTGTATACACATGGAGTTTTCTAATAGCAGCTATTCTCATCAAGAATACATCCCATTATATATTGGTCATTTCTACAGAAAGGCCACCACCTAATATGAGGCTGATCACCTTGATTCCTAAACAGTACATTCAAATATAATAGAACCTATGAAAAAGGTCCTCGACATTGTCTATACTCTCATCTGAAGAGGTTTAAGGAACAGGGATGCCAGTTTTCAGGAAAAAGCCTGAATTCAGGCCCTGGCCCATAGTTTAGGCTTTTTGTGTACAAAATAGCTCATTCTATGTGATTTTCAGAACCTCTGATCAATTATAATTGAATCCCTGGGTAAGGAAGATTGATCCATCTGAATGAATGTAAAATATACCAATGAAAACTCTACACAAGCAAAAATACAAAAAACAACAACATACCTTTGAGGTCATGACCAGCTCATGGTAGATGATATACTCTGGTGTGAACCCCATACCAAAGAGGGCGCTAGTCGGATGCAGATGACATGGCATACCAGTCCTCACGTTCACATACTCTCCTATGCCCTGATAGGTAGAATATACAACAACAACAAAGAGAACAATAATGAATCTTACTTTTTATTTTCCATCACTCCATTTGACCTTTCCCAGAGTACATTAGATAATGAGACATTGACATTCATATCAATTCATACATCCAGTGAATAAGTGGCAATGAAAGTTTCTGTATCAAAAAAATTGTTCAACATTTTGCAGTCTCATTTACTCCCCCTCCCAAAACATGTAAAACATTAACAAAGATGAAACCAATGATAAAAAATCAAATAATTATAATTCAAAAATCATCAGCTTGATCATTAGCTACAACACACATCTTTAAAGAAGGTAATTAAACATGAATGTGCAATGCTCTCTGAGCAGCTATCAAACTATCCTTGAGATTTTTAAGACGTTTAGACTCAGTCTACATGAGCTTAGAACAAACTTGAAAATCAATAAGCTACAACAATAGACTGTTCAAAAGCTGTAAACTTTTTAAGGCATTTACTAAAATGAATACCAGACAATACTGACCTTAAGCTTGGCAGCATGGTGGAAGAAAGCAGAACAGATGCATTTCCTGATCAGATCCCAGCTGGTCCCGCTTGAGACCAGCTCCATCCCTTGTTGATCCATGATGTCTTTGAGCTGCTGCCTCACCTCACGCACCTTACGCATTGCCTTCACATGGATGAAATGCTCAGAGGACCAGCTCGAAGAGTAGCTGTTGTCATGGTAATAACAAGAGTAACATAATTTAGACACCAATGTCTACCAAACTTCAAGAATTTGTTGAAATAACTTGACTGATGAAATCAGACATTTTTTTTTTAAAGCGTTTTTTTAAAGCCAACAATGAGGGAGTTGCTACACAATTTCAAATTGGATACTTGGTCAACAATGGATCATCTAACTTTTTATCAATTTCATGGAGCAAGTGATAAAGAAAAAAAGTAATACTAATGATCACTATGGTTGTGCTCCATTAGTATTTCTGAGAAACCTGATACCTGATAGCTTTAGGACCTAAAAAATGATTTGTATTACAAAAAATATCTTTGAAATGGAGAGAACTCAGGTTCAAATGTGTCTGTGAAACCCCATACCATTTACTTTCAAATGTGTGGTTCTTTAAATTTATCCCAATGTCCAAATATATTTCTCAACCTCTCTCAAGCCACTCTGGCCATACAGTATAACTGTAACTTACATTAAAAATTGATTGTGTTACTTAATGATAAAGAAATGTGCACATGAGAGGTGGATCATTGTCTTGTTTCAACGTACTGGTTGTTTTTCCACTGCTGGTAGACATTGAGAAAGGTCAGATGATCACTCTCAGGGACTGAGAACTTTTCCCTGGCCTGATCACTGTCTTCCTCTCTACCCTTGGGTCGGTAGAAGATGGATGGAACAGACAACATCGACACAATGATCTGTGGAAAGAAAGAGAATGATATGTTTCCTTTATTCACAAGTATCACTTTCATGCAAAGCAATTTCTAATCTCCATTTGTAATAAACAACTACTCAAAAGAAATTAAAAAAATATTAATTTAAATTTAAGATCCGTTTTTATAAATTTCACTTCAGTGAACAATAACACTTGTTGCACTTGTCACTTCCTCATAACTTTAGCATCTTAACATGTTACCAATTCTTGGAAATTTTCTTGTTCTATTTAGTCAACTCCTTCATTCCAAGATATTGATGTTTCTTATACAGTGTACAAATATTTGGGCAATAGCATTAAGCATGCACAAAAAGCAATCTCAATTCTTAATTTTGATACCGTAGTTGCAGGAAGTCATGTTTGCTGTTCATTCGCTCAAATCCTCCAAATACATTCAGTAGATGTAAATAAGGCAATGATCTAGACTGATTGTATAAGTTACCTTCAGGGTCCAAGCACTGTATCATCTGTCTGACCATAAGTTCTTTTGAGGGTGTCTACTTACCAGGGCTTCTGAGCTGCATCCCATCTCACATGCTACTATGAGAAACTTAGAGAGTGCAGGATCTAGAGGAAACTCTACCATCCGTCTACCGATGGGAGTCAGTTGACCAGTGTTATCTAAAGCTCCTAAGATCCATAGCTGGTACATGGAGTTCAACATGTTGTCCTAGAGAGAGAGAGAGAGAGAAGGAAAAAATCACATTATTTTAATGTTTGTGTCCTTTAAAGTGGTGGGAGCCCCAAATTGCCAACAAATTTCACTTAAATTGTATCATAATATGAAAGAGAATGTCTTTTAAGACACAATTCTGCAAATATTTTTCCCACAAAATGTGTATGGAGACATATGTTGATAAAATATACATAATTTGGGTTTTCCGTTGTATGCAGAAAACCTAAATTTTGTATTGTTTCATCAATATTTGACTTCAAACACATTTGTTTTGAAAATCCTTGCAGAAACTACCTAGGGTGTAAATATCCCAAAGGCACTTGTTCTACAGTCAAATCACTGAAATAATGTTTAGCATTAGGTTTTTAATTGAACTTAAAGTATATTTTCTTACCTGAGGGGGTGGGTCCATGAAGTGGAAGAGCAGAAGATCATCGACTCCTAATGATTTGAGAAGGAGCACCACATTGGCAAGGTTTGTTCTTTGGATCTCGGGCACTGTTGTCATCAGTAATTCGTTCTTATACGCACTCTCTGTGTACAGTCTATAACACTGCCTGTTATTGCAAGATATTACCATAGAAACATGAAATGAAGTAGATAATGAATACTATTGTTTTACAGTTCAAAGATACAACCCCTAATATGATTATGAAAATTTGCAAAGGAATCATTCATACCCTTTGTGCTACAAAACAAAAAATATTTGTGAATGGTTGAGATTTGTGAGATTTTAGACCTGCAATTGTATTTATAACATTGGTACAAATTCTGTTTTGCGATCATTACACAGTACTACCAGAAAGAAACATTTTGTCAATGTAAAAATCAAGTGATTTTTCATTTTCTGTTAAATACATAAAATTAGGCATACGTGTTTGTTGTACAGATGCCCCACACAACATAGGCTGAGAGTCCTTTCACTTAAGCTCAAAATGACGAGTTTCTTTCATTGACCATTGATTTATATGCCATCGTCATAGTGCTCGTCAAAACTGCCCCAAATAAAATTTACATTAATTATTCATATTGTTAGTGGACTTTAAAGAAATTGTTTTTAAAAATTACTCTTTTTGTCATATGGATTTGCCTTTAATTTTTTTTATCAGCACTGTGCTGTAGACTTACCCTGGCCCTGTCCTACCAGCTCTACCTGATCTCTGCCTAGCGTTCGCCTGACTGATGGGGTACACCTGCAGAGCATCCATACCTATACGAGGGTTGTACACCTTCAGCTTACAGTACCCAGCATCCACTACAAACATGATGCCGTCAACTGCATGGAGAGAGGAAGGCAAGTGTGATATGAGAGAGTGTACTAGATGTCAAGAAATAAATAGGTACAGTGTTATTGAAGATCAGTAGCCAAGTGGCCAGAACATAAACATGTTAGGTTCAAAACAGAGATGAGCACACGGATAAGGATTTGGTTTTGAAGAGGATTCTGAAATTCATAGGTTCATATTTTGTTTTAAACATATAACATAATGCTTGTCTTTTTAAAGCTAAGCTATGACATATAGTATATCGCCACCTTCTTTGTAATGCATTACTCTTACACAAATTAAGAATGTTCACTTTAACATGTCACATTAAAGGATGAAACTGACATTACTAATACTTTCATTAAATTTATTTAATTTGCAACAGAACACAATACTGGACTGAGCAGAATCACCTGTCATGAACTAAGCAGAGACAGTGAACTTTAATAACATGTACCAAGCTTGAATCAATAAATTCATTCAAATTTGTTTGAATTTGACTGGAATAAAACTGACCTGTGAGTGAAGTTTCAGCAATATTGGTAGCCACCACACACTTTCTGACTCCATCCGGTGCCTTCTGGAAGATCTTAGCTTGAAGGTCTGACGGGAGCTGAGAGTAGATGGGTAAGATGGCAAGCTGAGGGGCGTTGTCTAGCTCTCCTAGACGCTCTGTAATAGTGGTGTCAAGATAACAAAGTTAAAAACTCAATCAGATGAACACATATGAGGCCATCAGAATTCAAGCCTGGCTTTTGATAGTATCTAGGCAACTCTTCACCAAAAGTATGTACCAAAATTTATTGAATCATTCTGATACTAAATCTGTGTGCAACAAACACCTGTATCAAGAAACACAGTATATATCTTTGATGGTCAATATTATATCTGGATTTAAGAGGATAAACAGGATATGCCCAAAGCTCTCATGAAATTTTGAATATGCAAGAAATTATGATTTTCTATTCATATGAAAGTAGGTGTATCATTATTATTAAAATAATATAGATCAGTGAGACCCTTACACCAATCCACATTGTGTAAAAAAAAAGGAAACCATTCAATTACAGCTACTGTGGATTATCTATCCATATTAAATCAGTTTTGCTAGGACAAGATATTGAATTTTAAGTAATCAGACTTATCACTCCAAACACTTACGGACATTGGAAGATGATAAAAACTAGATAGAAAGATAATGATGATAATAATATTCTGCTTTTATATAGCGCTTAATACATCAATGATGTCTCTAAGCACTTTACAGATATATTATTGATGTGTACAGACTAGAGGAAATGAAATGTGGTTTGACCATGATGACCCTTTACCTGAAATCAGGTCACAGGTGACCTCGATGTCCTCTTGTCCAGGCATGAAGACCAAGATATCCCCAGGAGGGGGTTGTAGATGGATCTGAATGGACTGCTTGACCGCTGCATCCACATAGTCTTCTACTACATTCTTACTGAACATGGTATCCACAGGGAATGTCCTGCCAGGGATCTAGGGGTTGAAAGAAAGACGGTGAAGGGTTATGGGTGAGGTCAAGATTGGTATGCGGGTCGGTGTCAGACCTGAATGGACTGCTTAACCGCTGCATCCACATAGTCTTCTACAACATTCTAACTGAACATGGTGTCCACAGGGAATGTCCTGCCAGGGATCTAGGGGTTGAAAAAAAGACGGTGAAAGGTCATGGGTGAGGTCAAACTTGGTATGCGGGTCGGTGTCAGACCTGAATGGACCGCTTGACCGCTGCATCCACATAGTCTTCTACAACATTCTTACTGAACATGGTATCCACAGGGAATGTCCTGCCAGGGATCTAGGGGTTGAAAGAAAGACGGTGAAGGGTTATTAGTGAGTTCAAGCTTGGTATGCTGGTCGGTGTCAGACCTGAATGGACTGCTTGACCGCTGCATCCACATAGTCTTCTACAACATTCTTACTGAACACGGTATCCACAGGGAATGTCCTGCCAGGGATCTAGGGGTTGAAAGAAAGACAGTGAAGGGTTATAGGTGAGGTCAAGCTTGGTATGCAGGTCGGTGTCAGACCTGAATGGACTGCTTGACCGCTGCATCCACATAGTCTTCTACAACATTCTTACTGAACATGGTATCCACAGGGAATGTCCTGCCAGAGATCTAGGGGTTGAAAAAAAGACAGTGAAGGGTCATGGGTGAGGTCAAGATTGGTATGCGGGTCGGTGTCAGATCTGAATGGATTGCTGACCGCTGCATCCACATAGTCTTCTACTACATTCTTACTGAACATGGTATCCACAGGGAATGTCCTGCCAGGGATCTAGGGGTCGAAAGTGAAGGGTTACGGGTGAGTTCAAACTTAGTATGAGGGTCGGTGTCTTTGTTAGTACTAGTGATAAAGTTGCTCATGCGTAGGTATATAGAAGGCAGCACACTGAGCTGACAGGTATTACGTTCCTGTGCGTACTAGTGTCCCTTTACGCGTAAGTTCGTATGGGAGCGGAATACCCGTTGGCTCAGTGTTCACCAAGTTGCCTACTTCACGAACGACTATATATCCATGCATGAACATCTTAATACAGTAAAGAGTTGATGTAAATAAAGGTGATGCTCAATACAAGGTGCTGCTAGTGACTGTGGTTGTGAACGATGATGATATTAGGCCTAGAAGTGTGCAGTGGCATTGGTTTCCATGTGAGTGCAGGAATAAGGGTGGGATAAGTGTTGATGTTAGTGTCAGATCAGGGATCACTTTTATTCTTTAAACTCTTCTATGAAGAAATATTTTAATATTGCAATGACAATATACATTAACAATGTTTAAAAGATCACAGTCTCTTTCATTTGACAGGCACGCTACATTAAAGCACAAGTATTCTATTTAGAAAAGAAAATCTGTATCTTTCCATATTTTATAGCAAAAATCGAATCAAAGGGACGTGCGACTTGGGCATTTAACATTTATACATGCAATAAATACTGTTGGCCACTGTCATTGCAGAATAATAGATTTGTCAGAAATGTTTACATAGGTTATCTTTATTGTTAAAACAGTGACAGCCAAAATAAAACTCACCTCAAAGACTGGAACATTTCCAAAGAATTTGGCAAACTTTTCTGCATCCATGGTTGCTGAGGTGACGATGAGCTTCATATCTGTCCGTCGAGCAACAACCTAACAAACACAGAAACAAAATGATTCATACTTTAACCTGTGCCATCATTGTAGCAATAATTTAATACACAAGTTGTTGGGTTATTAGTAGAAACTTAGGAAAAGTGATGCAAGTTGTTTTCATCATGTTCCATGTCTTTTCCACAGGTGGGTTTTTACAAACCCTTCATCCAACAGCCTCGTAAAAACACAATGTGAAGGTAAATCAAATGGAATCATCAATCAGACAAACAAAGAACTTACACAAATAAAAACACATTTCAAACTCTTTTTAAGACCTTTATAATGCTAACTGCTAACATATACATTGCTCTTCACAAGCACTTACAATCCATTAATGATCCTTCACCTATTTATATTTTGCAACTTGTATTTGGAAAAGTGCAAAATATCAATGTAGCTCTGAGCTGACAACAAGTGAAAATATGAAAGTCTCACCTCTCTTAGTAGACCAAAGAGAACATCAGTATTGAGTGATCTTTCGTGAGCTTCATCCATTATGACTGCACTGTAGTGATCTAGATCAGACTCGCGTAGCGACTCTCGCAGTAGAATACCATCAGTCATGTACTTGATCAATGTTTTCTGAGGTATTCACAGGAAGAAATGTAAACAAAAATTGTTAGATAGTTAAAACATCAACAGCGCTCATATACAGCATGTTTTCATCCTACTAATTATAAAAACGTATCTGCTCCGATGAAATGGCATAAATGTCTGATAGAAAATAAACTTCATAATCTTAACAATCTCATACATTACACAATCTATGTAGGGTAAATTGTATCATTTCTTCTTGCAAAAAGAAAGTTACATACATTCAAAATCATTTCAATATGTAACCAGTAATAGTTCTTGCTCAGAAGTTTCAAGCCTACCTGTTAATCTTGCAACCATCTCTTAGTTCCAGTAAAGAATTGCCAATTGATATATATATGTGAACACAATAAATGTCACTAATAAGTATTGTATACAGGTCAATGATTTAAATGTTACCAGTTTGGAGCAAGAGGCATATCTATTTCTACATTCAGAAGCATTTTTCTGTGAAAGATAATAAATAATAATAAAATCAAATATGGATTTCACTATTGAGAACTTACATCACTGGTGACATCCTCAAACCTGATGGCATAGCCTACTTCATCCCCTAGAGGAACGTCCATCTCTTCGCTGACTCTCTTAGCGACTGACATGGCTGCTACACGTCTAGGCTGAGTGCAACCAATCATACCAAACTTGCTGTAACCATCCTCATGGAGATACTGATATAAACAAATGCAAAAGATGAAACTATGAAAACTAAAACTGAGTAACAGGTACATATTCTGTACCATTAGGCTCATGCAATCTGAAGATCTGATTTCTTAATCAGTAAAATGCAAATATAACACCCTTTAAAACATTGTGCGTATGATCTAGCATGAATTACTTTATGACATGAATGACTGATCTTTACTTATTCTTGTTACATTCTCATCAATTGACAGTACCAAGCAAAACGAGTAAGACGCAAATAACACTGTAGTATATATCCAACAAGCAGAGATGTCATCCTTTTTAAACATGCCATCGTGACAGAAATATTAATTCAGTTTGTGGTTTCTCATTTCTCACCCCCTCCTTTGGTAACTTTTGGTAACTTTTCTTGAGGAACAGCATACATTCCTCCTTCATGCATATCCTTGTAATCATGAATTCACATTGAGTCACACTCCATCACAGACTGGGGGGTGTTTCACAAAGATCCTAAGTTGAACTTATCTTTAAGTTGAAACAATTATGGAAAGCTGTTAGCATCTTTGAAAATATTTTGTAAAAGCTATTTTAAAGGGCATAAAATGTTGATTCAAATAATTCATATTTTCTATTATCAAGGAGATTTCATGTTCTTGATGTGATTTCATGAAAAGTCGAAAATACTTGAATTTTTGCTTTTGAATATATTTCATTTTAAGGCTACAAATATCTCTCCATAATGGTTAAGTCCAACTTAAAAGTTAAGTTCGACTTAGGGTCTTTGTTAAACACCCCCCTGAAATACTACTGACCTGAGTGAGTTGAGTGGTTTTACCAGACCCTGTCTCCCCGACGATAATCACTACGCTGTTATCTCTGATCACGTTGAGCAACACCTGACGAGCGGCAAACACAGGTAGGTATTCACGCTGCTCCCGTAGAGACTTCATCTTAGCAAAGGCACTTGCTGCTTCCGTTTTCTCTTTCATGTGATCAGCAAACTGCTGCTGGGACTTGTAGTTAATGTTCTCTTCTTCTGTTCCCTATTTTGTGAAAAAGTATATCAAATTAACTTCTTCAAACACCCCTCCAAGTCTATTTCACAGTAAAAAAATCAAACTAGATGAGGGTAATAGGAAAAATGAGTAAAACCAGATGGATGTTCGACTGCACACAGTCAAAAATGATGCCTCCGCCATAGAGCGATTTTACAAACAAAAACAAAAACAATTTTTTAAATTTTATTGTAATCCATTAGCAGGTTCTCAGAATATTGTGATTACAAGCTATTTTTCGTATACATGTATGACCCTTTAAACTTTGACCTCATGACCCTAAAATCTAATCAGTTCATCGGCTCTGTAAGACACATACATATCCCGAGCTTGATAGTAATCCATCCGTCAGTATTGACAATGCGTTCACAAGCTATTTTTGCATACATCATGAGTCCCATGACCTTTGACCTAATGACCCCCCCCCCCCCCCCCCCCAAATCTAATCAGTTCATTGGCTCTGCAAGATACATGTATATAACCCAAGTTTGGCGGTAAACCATCAATTGGTTCTTGAGATAATGCGATCACAACCCATCTTTGCATACATAATGAGCCCTGTGACCTTTGACCTCATGACCTCCAAATCTAATCAGTTCATTAGCCCTGCGAAATACATACATGGCCCAAGTTTTGGGGTAATCCATCGATTAGTTCTTGAGATAACGCGATCATGAAAAAGTGACGTTCAGACTTACGGACGGACGGATGCAAAACCAGAAAACATAATGCCTCCTGCTACTTCGTAGCGAAGGCATAACAAAAAAATTTCTTTACAACATGAGTTAGACTTGACGTCATGGCATATTGTTCACAGGAGTACATATTTCTTTTTCTTTTCAGGAAAAAAAGGTAACTCGCAATCAAATTGAACTTGAATCCATAGCATTTTACTTTCAATTGATTATCTATCATTCTCCTGGGAGACTTCCTTTACTCCAAAGAATTATATTATTGATATTATTGATATCTTGTTCTTGATTTCAAAAACCATGAATTCCTGTTCCCTACAAGAGGTTGGGTATTTACTTTCAGCTCAATGAAGATGGGTTGATTTTGGTATGCCACACATTTTCCATGGACCCGTAGTCTTAAAGGTAAAGATCAGTTTTGGAAACGCCCCCCTCTCAAAAAATGAAATGGAAGCTCTTATTACCAATCATGTGAAAGAATATGTTTTGACTAATACGTGATGATACAAATTTTGCTGAGAAACCGCCTACTAATTGATATATTTGGTAAATTATTATATCTATTTGGACCTGATAGATATCGCGCACGTGTCGTGTAGTCCGATACAGGGGTGGCGCCATGCTATTTTGTTAGGGGGGGGGCGAATGGGGGATGTGCCCCCCTCAGAAGTTGAAGATGTTTTTTAAATTGATTTTGCCAAATTAAAAAGAAAAAAGTCTTAAGTTCAACTAACAGGAACAAGAACGCAGAAGGGTGTCTGAGGGGGATGTGCCCCCCCCCCTCAGAAGTTGAAGATTTTTTTTAATTGATGCATAAATGGCTCGTTTTGGTGCATACTTTTGTCAAAATAAAAAGAAAAACAGTCTTACCTGTAAGTTCAACTAACAGGAACAAGAACACAGGGGGTGTCTGAGGGGGGAAGTGCAGCCGGTTTTGTGTCCCCTCAGAAGTTGAAGATTTTTTTTTTAATTGATGCATAAATGGCTTGATTTGGTGCACACTTTTTGCTAAATTAGAAAGAAAAACAGTCTTAAGGTCAACTAAAAAGAACAAGAACGCGGGGGGGGGGGGGGGGGGGGGGGGGGGGGGTTGTCACCATATTTTTCAGAAGGGTTGTTATAGACAAATTTGTCATTTCCATTTAACAATCACCTATAAGGTTTAGGAGATACAAGGGATTAAATCTGATTTTTTTTTTTTTTTTTTTTCAGTTGGTGAAAGGATTTTCATCTTAAACCAATGTTTGAACTTTCGGTAATGTGAATGTAATAATGAAGCGTCTAAATCTGATCGCCTTATTTTTTCTCTATCTTTATTTTTTCCCTTCTCCCCCGCCCTCCCTTACGTCATAATTTACATTTTATAGTTCTCTTTCTTCTGGCCTTCCTCCTTCTCGTCCCCTTCCTTTTCTTTTCTTCTCCTTCTTTTCCTTTCTTCTCCTTCTTTTACTTTCCTTTTCCTTCTCCTTTTTCTCTTTCTCCTTCCCTTCCTCTTCCCTTTTTTCAAAATGATAGGGGGGCGGCTGCCCCCCCCCCCCCCCGCCTGCCGCCCTGTGGCGCCCCTGGTCCCATATACATCTTTCTGTGTTCAGTGCTTTCTGGGCCAAATTTTTTATAATTTTGATGATTCCAGAACCTTGCAGTACACACCAATACTTATATGCTAGATGATCAACCTTTTCTGATCGATTCCACAACGTTTCTTTCACAATGCATTCGCATGACCATACATGTAACTGGTCTTTATCTTAAAGTATCTCCGACTTTGATGTCAATAGGTCAATAGTGAGGGTTCAAGGGTGGGATGTGTCTTTCAAGTGGTTTCCATACAAATATACCTGCTCCAGATCATCTTGATAAACCTGCTACTTATAATAGTAATAATATATATATATTTATAGTGCAAATATTTATAGCACCCAAAGTGCAAAGCACTGGTAAACATAATTTATACACCACGTGTACCGTATGTCTGAAAACAAGCCACGTGTGAATAGCTAATAGCGGTACTTGTGCTTCAGCGGTACTTGTGCTTCACCCACGCTGATTTTGTGAGTGGGCAGCTTCCAAATATCATCACCATTTTAATAAACATATTTGAACACATCTCCTGAATTAATAGTAACAGTACTCTATTGAACAACTACTGTTTATGTAGGTTGACATAGGGAGTATTTACGTCTGCAGCTGTTTGACTCCATTTCACTAACATACACGGTAAGTACACTTGCATTTATATAACATGCAAATCCTATCTCTTGAGACAAGAATGAACTTTTTAAATACCAAGTGGAAACTGGGCAAAACTGCCCTTGCTGTACATTCATAAGTAGTCATGTAATGTCAAAATATGAGTCAAAGCTATGATAATGTTCCAAAACTACTGTAAAAAAAAGATAAAAAAGAAGGATCATCCAAGAATGTGTACGGTAGTTCTCCCAGGAAGGATTTTTTTGATATCAAGAATTGCATCTCTTATTTGGAGCGGAAATGGAGAGTCCACAAAGATACATGCTAAAAAAGGAATAAGAAGTTTATTTCTATTCAATTGACCTACCATAGATCGTATTTTTGTAGAATATAATGGTTACAATGAAAGATAAACCTAACAGAAAAAAGTGAATAAGCTCCTCCAGTGAATACAACAGTCAAATTTTTTGAGATGCAGTCAATGTTGTGAACTGATCAGAAAATATGGAGCATACCTGCTTTGTGATAAAACCAACTTATCATATTTTTTATTGAATGTCTGTGTCAATATACAGTAATCTTGGACAAGATTCTTTAGCTGAAAAGGGATTTGCCATGTACTAAGACGTGAGATCAAGACGCCCTCTCACACCAAGCCTGGCGGAAATCATCGGAATCGAAGGATAGCGCCAATAAACCCAACAACAACAACCACTAAGACGTTTCTCCAGTTGGTGACATTGTAACAGAAGTCAACTGAGTCACTCCAGCTGTCATCTTGTCGACATCTGTCAAAATATCTGTGACGGACATACTTCATGGACTTGTAGAGTACTAAGGCACTGCAAACATTGCTTTGATGACATTTCTTGAAACCAGTTGGACCACATGAAGGTTGTCATCTTGTACTTGGTCATATTGACTTCAATATTGCTTCAAACAATACACTACGAATGAAGTTCTATCAATCGCTTTTTCCCCATTCTATATGTTCATTTTTAACTTTTGTTTTGTAAATTAAGGAATCTGTATTTAATCACAAGTAACCATGTTAAATTTTGTATTTAGATGCACTATGGCAAAACTCATCCTTTTGATCACAATACTTCTTGTAAATGGATACCAAGTTAAAGCAGTATCCTTAATGCAAGGGCAAGAAGCAACCTTACATTTCCCATACCCATGTGACAGCACAGAAGTCACATTACAGCATTCGTACAGAACCCCATTTTATCGCTCTACAGATGGGTCATCACTGTCTTTGACACAAGATCAGGTACAAAGATTTAGCGTTCAGAATATAAAGAACAATGTCAATTGCTATCTGGAGTGTTCAATAAGTAATCTACTGCGCATTGATCAAGGGACATACATTTCGTCTGTATACAAGGATGGGGAGTTACTAGTTGAACAAACACACAGGATTTGGCTTGAGGTTGATTATCCTCCTGGTAAGGCATCATGTGGTGTGAGTAATGATAAGGGTGGAGACTGGGTCTCAATAGACTGTACAGCTAATGTTGGGAGTCTATCAGGAAAGATGAATGCTATCAGGATGGTGTATGGATGCCTCCACTAACTGATCCTACTAAAACTGACACTATATTGAAACAGACCATTCTCATCAGAAAATCACAGCCAGTATTTTGTTGTTCTTCCACTTTGGCTGAATACACAGAAAGATGTGAATGTAAGGATACTGCATTATATCTAGATGATACCAGTAGCAGTGACCCATGTCCAACTACATCAACAAAAACATCAACAATTTCTACTTACAGTCGCAGACCCCCAGATCTGGTCAACAATAGTCAGACTTTTAACTCATCAAACTGTCCCCTATCATCAAACATGACATCCAAGAATGCCATCAAAATGACCAAAGATAATTCGAAAGCATTGGTTTTATATTCTATTTTGGGAACTGCTGTGGTCATAATGTTCACATTGAATGTAATTTTCCTCTATAAATTGAGGCAGAAATGCAATAACAATAGTAATGATGAGTCACAAGATCCTTCATTATCAAGAAAGGTTTACAGTGATGATGCTCAAGAATGCGTAACAGAGAAATTAAATCATATTCAAGAATCAAACGTATGATTT